CGATGGCGATGGCAATGCCCCTCGTGTGTGCGTGCGCTGTGACTGTTCCTCTCGTTGTTTTCTGTTGTCAGGAGGCATAAAAGGCATGGCAAACATTTTTACCGACATTTGATTAAATTTAAATATCCTTGTATCCGAAATTGGCTAAAGCATGTCCCGTTATGTTATGACACCAAATAATACAAGGAAAATACGGCCAAATGCTCGGCAAGGGGCACAAGGAACAGAGAATAATACTCATGGAAAGCATTTCGGGTCTGCAAAAAATTAACGTGAAAAGCGAACGAACCGCAGAGGTGGGCAGGGTGGGGAGTTTTTGGGTGGACCCGTGGAGAGCTCTGCTCAATTGATGAGTGGTTCGTTCCCCGTCGTAGTTTTGCTTAATTATTTTAATTATTTTTATATACCGCCTACGTTTTTGCACTTGGCGCCGCGCAGCGCCGCGCTGCACTGCAATTAAAACGCTATGCGGCCTGGCCTTCATCATTGAGTGCCCTGCCCGGTGCTCGGTCTCCGCAACCTTTAACCGTGCCGTTTTTCCCCTCATTGGTGTGGAGTGGCGGCGAAATTGGTATGCAAATGCTGGCAGCCCATCACTGGCCATGTACTACTGCTAGTCATAAGCAAAATGCTTTGGCCAAAAGCGCTGGGAAAATAAAAACGCTGTGAATATAATTAAGCAAGATGGGGTCGGGGCTCTGGTTGGGGTACTGTCTGCCTGAGAGCTTGGTTGGCTACTAAACGAGTGGGTACCCCCTTTAGGTAGCTCTACTCGAAAATGCAATTTAAACGGCAGTTAGCTGACGGCTGCCTTTTGATACCCATAATGCCAGAGTTAAAGCAAAAGAATCGCCCATTGGACTGGGAGAAGCACACAAGCACAGGGATATACGCACACAATCCTGGCACATCCTTTGATGCCATGCCCGACACGAGTGAAAACGACACTACATTAGACGTAGACCAATTAACAATGCTTTTCCTGTTAATCCTGTTTGTACATTGTGCAAGTCTTCAGTAATTGAAACTGTCGACTGTCTAAGTCCAATTATCTGTACAGTCTGCCAGCACCGAACGTACGAGTAACTGTATCTGTATCTGTATCGGTATCTCTTTGTGTGGCCATAAAAAGGCTATCTAAATTGAATGATATTTCATTAGATTGTTGTTTAAAATCTTAATTTAAAGCGTATTAAATCAGCTTCAATGGCACGGAAGGAGTACATATTAAGAAATCTTTAGCCCAGAGCCGAGAGCTGCTCTTTTATGCAAACATTCCCACCACAAACACATATGCAAACATCGTGTGTGTGTGTGTGTGTGTGTACTTGTGATTGTGTGACAAATCTAAACAAATAATGATTTAATAAAGAACACACACACGCAGTTCTATTGTGCCATTGATACTATTGTTTTACGGTCTGCTAATCAAAATGAACTCCGCTCCGCCCCGCCCCGCCCCTACCATCTCTGATCTGTTTGGGGAACTGCCTCCAGTGCCTCCTGACTGCTTTGCTGCCTGCTTCGAGGCCTTTGAATTATAAATGAGACCTAAAACTCTCGTTTAATATTTAAACAAAATCAAATCAAGGAAAAAAGGAAGGCAGGCAGGCAGGCAGCCAGGACAGGCAGTCAAACAGTCAGACATTCGGTCGGTGCAAGTGGAAATATCAACTTGAAAATATCAAATGAGGATGGGGTTTGGGCTTGGGCTTGGGTTTGGATTTGGATTTGGGTGGCTGTTGGGCGTGCCCTGAGTTGGCGTTTTCCAATTCGAGTCCAACTGTCTGGCTGCGCTCTGGGCCAAGAGCTCACGGTGATGTGGATATGGATGGTGCCAGTGCCAGTGCCAGTGCCAGTGCTGTTGGGTCGCCACTTAAACTAATTTGATTTCTATTGAGGCAAACAAATAATAAATAATGAATTTACATTTCTATGCGTGCCACCAGACCTTGCCACGACTGAGCCGGAGTGGAGCTGAGAGAGCACTCTCAGACTGTGCTGCTACTTGCATTATATGTCAGGTGCTTTCCTCCTGCAACGACAAGTCTTAATTGCATCTTCTTTGCCGTAATTAGGTGCACTGGAGACGCAGCAAAAGTTCGCTACCTGATCAAGAACTAAGCGGATTACAGCAATTACCAACGAATTACGAATATGAGATGTCACGGATATGCATATGGATACAGGTACAGGATACAGCCCCTCAAGTGGGGTGGCTGAACCTGGGGAGTACTCGCACAAAAGCATATTCCTAGATACTTGGATGGAGTACTCAACTTGCTCGAAATAAAGACAAAACACTTTGACACTTGGTGTCGCGTTTCCGTTTTCATTTACTCCGATTCGACCGACCGACCGACCGACCTATAAATAAATCATTTTCCCGGTACAGGCCGAGTGAGTGGGTTGATGGAACAGCAGATGATTTGAATGTGAGACCAGATGAAGCGAAAGAAGCACAAACTTGGGCGGACTCCAAGGTACTGACTGGCATCCTATTGGAAATATAATCATCTAAAAGTTGAATACATACGGCCTATTCCCTGGACTCTGACGCTGACGCTGACGATGACTCTGGGTCGTGTGTCTGTGTCTCTGGTGTGGTAGGGGGCGGGGGTCTAGGGGTTTGTCTTGAGAGAGAGAGAGAATGGGAGATGAAGTTATTTACAAATGAGTGGATGGGTGGCTGTCGCTCCTCTGGGGTCGCAACTAAATTACAAGCTTGTCTACACGAACGTGTGTGTGGGTGGTTGGGGGTGGGGTGGGTGTCGTGTGTGAGGTGTCTGCTCATCACTTCGATTGGGTTTGGGGGTTGGGGGTGTGGTTGGTGTGGGTTCTATATACATTAAATATATGGAGCAAACGCGAAACTTGGCTGCGGCTGTTAAAAATGTACAATAATTTCAAATATGCAAATTTCAAAAACCAAAATCCAATCAAATTTCTCTGTGCGCGCAGACACACCTCTTGTTTTGTTATTAGTATTCATCTATTGGTATTGGTATTTTAATCAACATTCACACACACACACCTACGCAAACACTCGTGGTATTCACATCTAAACTTTGAATTGTTCTGAATTGATTTGTTGTTGTTGTTCTTGTTGTTGTTGTAGTTTTGGTTTTGGTTTCGGTTCTCTTTTTTTGGGTTTTCTGGAGTTGCTGTTGTTGGAGTTTTGTTGAAAATATTGAATTAAGGAAAATATACATATCATATAAATATTGAATAGAAAGTTTGCAAATATATATATCGGGATAATATATATGTATATATATGTAAAAGGGTTTTTTTTTTGTAATAAAGAAATATATATATGGAACAAACAATTTGGTTTCTTTAAACAACAGTCTCGTGTTCTTTTGCATTTTGCAATTGCATTTTATATATTTACAAAATTTGATTTGTTTTTTATTTTTGTTAATTATTTACAGTAAAAGTGAAAACGGAAAACTCAAAAACAAAATTAGACAGAGAGAGAGGGGGAGAGAGAGAGAGAGAGCGAGAAAACCAAAGTTCTTAACTAGTTTCCTGGTTTCCTGGTTTCCGGTTTCGACTGTCGCAGGGTTGGGTTCTGTCACTCCGAATCTATAGACTGGTCTATATACTGGCTAACTGGCTGTCTAACTGGCTGACTGTCTGGGCTCTCTTGTGGCTTCAGTTTCTAATTTGGGTGCCTGTTGGGAGGGGTTTAATCTGCTAATCCGCTAATACGCTTGCAAATCGCAACTAAGTAGCTTAATTGGATTGGATTGTCACTAACGGTATGATTAACGTTTAATATTAATATTTGTACGAGTAGTTTAATTTGTATCTTTGTATCTTTGTTGTTGTTTTTTGGTTTTTTAAGGGAATATGTTTGAGGAAAATATACATTTTGTTCATTTTGTTCATTTTGTTTCTTTTGATTGTTATATATATATATTTTGTTGTTAGATGTACACTTTTAGTTGATTGATCGATTGATTGATTGATTGATTTTATTGGTTGATTGGTTGGTTAGAGTGAGTTCGAGATATACAGAGAGAGAGAGTGAGAGAGAGAGAGAGAGAGAGGTAGAGAGAGGACCCTTGCCATGACAAAACGTAAGTAAAGTAGAATTATTTATTCATTTCGTATGCAGAGTAATTGTTGTTTGAGACTATTTACAAGTTTGGTTTGGTTTTTGTTTTTTGTTCTTTTTTTTTTGTTTTGTTTTGTATAATTAACCAAAGATTGCATTAAAACTTAAAATAAATTAGGCCAAAAAAAACTATAAAAAAAAAGAATAAAAATAAAAAAAAAAAATAAAAAATAAAACTTAATTGTAAGTACCAAAAGAATCGATCAAAATCCTGCTTTTGTTTCGTGTGTGTTTTCACTAAAGAGTGGAACAATTGAGAACGACGTGTTTTCTTTCAGGTTTTTCGCTTTTCAGTTGATCTCTTGGACGGAACGAAAAACTTTTGTATTCTCGTTCTTTTTGTGTGTGTGTGTGAGGGGTGGGTGGGTGGGTGGGTGGTTGGGGTTGGGGGTGGTTGTGGTTGTTGGGGGGGTTTAAATGAAAAGAGCGCTTAAATCATAAGGTCATATGTTAGTCATGTTTTAGAGGTTAACTAAGGGAATGTAATGTAAACGAAAGAATAGGTGGAAACGATAACGGAACAGATAACTGGTATATTTTGAGATAGCGAGTTAGGAGATAGAGTCTTTTGTATTTTTTCGGTTTTAGTTTTTTGTTTTTTTTTTTTGCTTGCTTTTTTTTTCTTAACTTATTTAATAGAGTGAGAGAGATAGAGAGAGAGAGAGAAAGGTAGAGAAAAAAGTATAAAATTAATGCTTACAATCATTCATATCGTCATTGGATCTCATTATGTACTGATCCGATGATGATAGTCTTGAATGCCCGTTCGTATTGGGATGAGCTCCCCCCCTATGATCACTTTGTTTATTAGAGCTACGCATCGCCAGTGCAGATGGGTTCGACTGATGCATATACATACTATCACCTTCGCACTCACTTTCTTTATACTGGAGCACATTCGTATGCTTCTCATAGATTACCAGGCAACGATGACATCCTTTCCTAAAAGAGTTTATTGTTTGCAACGAAAAGTATGTAGTTTTGTATTTTGTATTTGGTATTTGGTATGGTATTGTATATCGGTATAGTATGGTTATTAATCATGTTTCTTGTTTAGTTTTCTTTTCATATATGTTTATGTAAGACTCGGTATATTCCTCCATGTGTACATTGTATGTGTGTGCAAAACTCAGAGGCGTCACCCCGCCGCCTACTCTCAAATGTCTTTTGAGTTATCCCAGACCCGAAACAGGATCTATATCGGATACGTAACTCTGGTTATATTGATTTTGAAAACAGGTTTCGGGCTTGGGTTTCGGGGCAATGGTTCTTGGAAAAGTGATTACTAGGTAATGATGTTATATTTCGAGTATAAGGTAATCAAAATGATCATTGAAAAACGAACTCAAAGGACGTACACTTAAGAACGTAAGAAACTCACAAAATATATATATGTTTTTGTTGAAAAAGTGATTTGTAATATATTATTCATATATTCATAAGTGGAAAAAGTTTCAAAAATAAAGAGTTTTTGATTTGGGTTCTGTTTTGGATATTTTTGGCTTTTCGTTAGTTTCCTAGCGGATACGATAGTACGAGTACATGGCACTCGATATGTTTACGATACTTGATTAAAAATATTATCTGTTATACGACAAAAAACATTTACAAAACGTAAGGAAACGGCATGGAATGGTATCGAGAGCTGAAACTGGAGCTCCCCAAAAAAGGGCAAACATATTTTTCGTATGCAAAGGAAAGGAGGAGTTTTTTCTTTGTTTTTTTGTGGAAGAAAAATCAAAAAACATTTTCACATTTCAGCTACAACGGAAAAACTTAGCTTACGATTAGGATTATTCATATGTTTATTAAATATTTATAAGCATGAACAAGGCAAAAAGCAAAAATTACAAAAAAAAAAAAAATCCACTGGGGTTTCTTTCGTCTTATTTCGCATTAAGGAAAGCAGCTTTAAAGGGGTTTTAATTGTTGTTTGCTTCCACATTTTCACAAAAACATTCATACGGAAGGCAACAAAAGAGGAATTCGAGTTCGGGAATGGAAAGCAATTTTCTTTGAAAATTTCTTTGGTTTTCGTTTCGTTTCGTTTCAAATGAAAATGCAGTCGAAGGAAAATGAACAACATTCGTTGTGGAAAGATAGTTAGAGATTGGCAGATTGGGTTTGGGTATAGCAAAAGGCAGTTTTCTAAATTAAAAAAGAAGAAAACTCACAATATGGTAGCGGGGGGTGCGGTGGTACGGGTACGGGTAAAAAAGTTTGATTTAGTTTCCAGCACATACACATCTCTATATTTATCTATATGTATGGGTAGGATTGGATGGGTCCGTACGGCTTCACGACTGGGCTCTTGTCAAACATCCGAATTACGAGCATCGCGCTCTGCCAAGACAGCGCCATTGACATGGAGAGGACATGGCGGCATGCGGCATGCGGCATGGGGCACGGCGGCAAGGAGAGGCAAACAAACCCGTTTCAAAGGCAGAAAGTTAAGAGCCGAAAGCAGTCGGAACAGCAGCTGGCAAGGGAAAAGGGAAAAGGGAACGGCGACAACGACAACGACAGCGATAAGGTTGACGACAGGTTTTAGATGGTACTCGTACATACAATATGTATGTCTATATGTCTGCCTGTCGCTGCTGTCGATGCCTCTATCCTCTAGCCTCCTTCCTTCTGTGTTGTCTTTGTTTGTTTGCTGCTCACTGGCTTCTTTTTAATGAGGTTAGTGCTGCATTTTCATCACCATCATTGGGGTTGGGGGTAGGAAAAATGTTGGATCGCAGGGAGAGCCTTACCTTCCACACAGTTTATCAAACAAACACACACACACACACACACACCTTTTTTCTCCAGTGAGAAATGAAAACTTATTCAATTATAGTCACTTTTCGACAAAGAACGAACAAAATACAAAGAAACAAAGATATATACGAGTATACATATGTACATATAACATGGAATCTTCATCATCATCATCATCACATCATCTTCTCTTCGTTTTTTTCTTTTTTCATCATCTTCTTGGGGGTTTTTGTTGATTGGCAGCCAATCGTTGGATCGAGTATTACGGGTTCGGAGATATGTTAGCATATTGTTTAGCAGGAGGCCCTGGACGGCGGGTACTTACTCATCGACAATCAGATATTTGTTACCATCGTAGGCCGTACACCTGCCGCGGTAGCTGAACTGCGATCCCTTGATGTGTATCGACTGCTGATAGCCGGACAGGAACCAGGATCCCTCCCATCGAGCCGGAAATGTGCAATTTGTGGGAGCTGCAAGCCGAAAAAAAAAAACAGAGAAAGTAAAATAAAAAGAAAAAGCATCATAATTTATTAATAAAAAAATGCACAACTCAGCCATTAATACATTAAGATATTATATTCCAATTGAGACCCCAAGGGGCGACCTCAATTGCGTTCATTGTTCATTTAACGAGAGAGAGAGGGAGGGAGGGAGAGGGAGCCCCAGATAAGAACCATAAAAGAGCAGCCAAAGCAATCTTTCGCCTCAATGAAATGCGTTAAATGTACCAGTACTTACAAGCACTTCAAATATTCATATGCACACCCGTAGATACTCGAATTTTGTACAGATTTCGGCTATTGCTTGGCCACACACTTTCTTGGGCTTCGGCTTTCGGCTTTCGTCCGTCTAATTGTATTGTCAAGTTTGGTGCCAAGATTTGTGGCTTTTTAATTTGTAAATTGTTTCAATTATTATTATGATTGTATTTAAGTGCGTGCACATAAGGGGCCACAAATTTACGACCCTCTCTAGTGGGGTGGGTACGTAGGGATGGCGGGTAGGTAGGGTATGCATCGGCAAGGGAGGTAGGGGAGGCGATGGGAAGGGCGGGCAGGCGCATAAATAAGTTGAACGTTGAACAAGCAAAGCAACCAAAAACGGCTCGTAATAATAATGTCACACACACACACACACACACACACACACACACTCGCTCACTGGCGGACAGTGGGGTGGAGTGGAGGGGGGTGCGGTGGTATGGGGTGGATAGAGGCAAAACTACCAAAATGGCAATTGTGAATATTAAAAAAAAAAGTACCAAAAGAAGAGAGAACACTTCTGAATGCCGAATTCTTTATGCCCTGTATTTCGTAGAAAGGAACCATATTTATTAGTTTTGAATAATACGATCTAAAAGATGGATTTCTTCCGTTATGTAACGCCGATTTTGTTGAGGTAAGGACCTTTTTTACTAGCTGTTGCAAAAGACTAAGTTAATAAGAAGAGTTGCTTTGGCTTAAGTACATGTACAGTCCATGTACTTCCATGTAGGGAATCTCAAGGAGGATTCGTTATACGGAAACGTTTTGCAGAATTTAGAACTGGAATGTTCTGGAACCCAATACGTTATATAGAAAACTTCATGGTATGGAAGTTGTTAATAGAGGAGTTCGACTGTTTTTACTGTATAGTTTGTGGCTCTAAAGCAAAGGTTTTTAGTGCCCTTTGAGCTGCGCCACTAGCTATGCATTTTTTATAATTATGGCTTTAAATTTCTTTAGAAAATCCAGGAATTTTCCTAAGAATTGCTTTCTTTTTATTGCGTTTTCTTTATAATATCTTGGCTTTATATTTCTTTAGATAATCCAGGGTTTTTGTCGAAGAATTGCTTTCTTTTTGCTGTGTTTTAATTACAAATTAAAGCTTATATATTTGGGCTGCTTGACACGATATCTTCGCTCTATATTTATATAGATAATCGTGGACTTTTCCGAAGATACTTTTTTTTTTTATTTATTATTTAATGCTTATATTTGTAGACTGCTTGATCCGATACCTTAGACTTGTATTTCTTTGGATAATCCTAGATTTTCTTTAGGAATTGCTTTCTTTTTATTGTGTTTTATTTATAATTTAATGCTAATATTTGTAGACTGCTTGAACCGATATCTTGTCTTTAAATTTCATTAGATAATCCTAGATTTTCGCTTTCTTTTTGTTCCCAGAAATAGACAGACTTTTGCTGCCGATCCAGTACAAGAAATACTCGCTGGAATCTCTGGAATACAAACATCAGATCAAAATTATAATACCCTCTAAAGGGCATACAAAGGAACATAAAGGGACGGAGCAAGGAAGAGAGAAGGGTATAGGGGTATAGGGGGGTGGGGGAGCGAGTCAAGCCCAAGTATAGAGAAAGAAACGTAACGGGAAAGTTAGCTAACGGCATGCCACATCAGGCACACACACACACACACACACAGAGACAGAGGGCCACACAGGGACAGAAGAATAAGTACTACTACGAGTATATCCCATACAATAGGAACAAGGATACATATAGAAAATGGTAAAACCACCCTCTGAGCGAACACATACATATATACATATATAGCTTAATGTTTGGGCACGATTGGCAGTGGCAGTGGCAGTGGCAGTGGCAGGGAGTTGGGCGCTTTAGGGGTGGCACAAGCACAGTCACAGTCCCAGTCCCAGTCGCAGTCGGAGGAACCGAAACGGAGATGGAGATGGAAATGCTGATGGTGATGGAGGACCAGAGGACCGGAGGACCGGAGTCGGACCGAACCGAACCGAAGCGAAGGGAACGGCGGCTACGCATTCAAATACAGAGGAACTCCCAAGTAGAGACGAATGTGCGCACACAAAGTGAAGCCGAACTGAGAATGAGGCAGGAACAGCGGCAACACGGTGCCGTGCCACACACACACACACACACACACACACACTCTAGCCCGTACTCTCGTCCTTACAGCGATACACATTTTATTTTATTATTCCTTTCCTTTCTTTTATTTTATTTTACTTTTTTTTTCTTGTTGATTTTTGTGTTTTTTTTTTTTTCTTTGTACCCCAGCTTTTATTTTCCTTTTGTTTTTACATTTGCGGCAAACAAAAGGTACTCATGCGCAGGATCAGCGCAGGAGCAGCGCTCTGAACTCTGAGCCCCGACTGAGCCGCAGCTCAGACCTCGAGACCTCTGGCCGTAGCCGTAGCCGTAGCCGTGGCTGTAACTGTGGCTGTGGCTGTGCCTGTGCATATACTTGTGGCTGTGACTGTGTGCTGTCCAATGACTTGTGCTTTTTACGAGGGGGTATTCAATGCTGCCACTGCCACTGCCACTGCTGCTGTTTCTGGCTGTCATAATGCGGCCCCATACGCACAGTAGGGGGGAGGGAGATTGTGTGAAAAGTGTAGCACACTTTGCAGGGCAGCCACCGCCCCGAACTCGGAAGCCAGCAACCAGAACTGAGAACTCAGTACCCCCTCTAACCGCCCCGCCGCTCTACGAAACGCGTGGAATAATTGTTTCGCCAATTTCAAGTACCGTGAATAATTTTCCAACATGATTCAATACTTTTGCCTGAGTGCTGCAAGCTGATGCTATTGTTGCTGCCACCGATTCCGCAGCCCAACAGGCACGTTGCCCTTCGCCCTTAATTCGCTACCCCTGAAATATGCTGCAGGACGACGGGGACAAGCATAAGTAAATACGAGCTAAAAGCAAACAGAAAGACAGGACGGACAGACACGACAGACAGGCGTACAAATGCGTATAGACAGTTCGAGGGGATCGGAGAGACGTGTATTTTCGGTGTGTCTGTGTGTTTTCCGAATGGATTAGAGTGGGCTCAAAACAGAAGGAAAACAGAAAAAGCATAGGAGCTTAGAATTTGGGAGGGGAGGGGAGGGGAGGGGATAGAAAATAAAATTCAGCTGAATTCTGAAAGAGTTACGCGACCCCGTCAATGGGGCATCGGATCCCCCATAAACCGACAGTAATCAGGTGCATTAATCAAATAAATCTCGTGTAGCTTGTCGGGCCACTGCATTAAGGGACTTTACCGAAACATTGACACGTGCATGTGTTTTGCCCCCGAAAGAATCTTGTCGAAACGTCACAGAAAAAAGCCCCCCAATTTAAACATTTACATTTAGATTTAGTTCTAAAAATGTATAACACTAGATGGGCTCCGACAGTGGGTTTTTGTAACAAAAAAGAATGCACATGAAAATATTTCATTTTATATTTAAAATAAATATATACATATAATATTTAAAACAAATATATATGTACATATAATATTTTAAATAAATATATATAAAATATAAATATATATACATATGTATATATACAATTTTTGTATGTAATTTATACTCAAAAAAATTATTCAATATTAAAAAAATAATATTTTAATTTTCCATTTCATTTTAATTTTTTTTTTTTTTTTTATTTGTATTTAAATATAAAGTATTATCATTTTAATATATTTTATAATTCAAATTAATATATTTCATATTTAAGATAAAATATTTCAATTTCATTTCTATGTATTGAATATTTAAAATAAATGTATGTAATATTTAAAATAAAAATATTTCATATATAAATAAAATATTTTCATAGAATATATTTCCTACAAATTTAATTTACTCGTTTTATATTAATTTTAAAGTGTTTTATATTCAAATTATATATAGAAAATATTTTAAAACAAATTATATTTCATTTTAAATATTTTTTATTAAAAATATTTTGTATATTTTATTTTATTATATATTTAAATAAAATATTTGCATAGAATATATTTCCCAAAAAATGGATATACTCGTAATATATGGATTTTTCAGTGCTTTATATTTAATTTAAATATAGAACACATTAAAAAGAAAATAATTTTTAATAAATTTATAATTAAATGAAAGTGAACTCTAATAAAATTTCACAAGAAATCAACGAATATTTCATTTAAGTACGTTTAAACTTCTTTGTACTACGCCATTTATGTGGGAGTGAGTTTGCCCGTAATCAGGGGTGTGAGTATGGAAAATGAATAGCGCCATATTAATTATGAATCAATTTCCCGACGCCCTACTCTATCATCATCTTGTCGGGTGGTGGCTGCTCTGTTCTCTGTTCTTCGCTCCGCTCGATTCTGTTCTGTTCTGTTGTGTCCCTCCTGTTATGACTGGCAATTTCCTCGTCTGGCAGCAATCGCTCCCAACATACACTTATCTTATCTATCCAGCTTGATCTATAATGACAACTTGAACGCGCTAACAACTCCTTAACCCAATTATAATGCCCACACTTATGGGTGTGCACAATTTCAAGTGTTTCCCTTTTCCATGGAGTTCGGTTAGGGAAAGGGCCACCATTACTGGACCTGGTTAGGAGAGGGGGTGGACCACCCCTATTGAATGGATTTACGCACACCCCACACACACAGACAAAAACATAGATACAAAAATACTGTTCATAGAACTCAAAGAGCATGACGCTTTGCCCGGAGACTCATTTGCGTTTGCGTTTTGGGCTGGGACTGGGACTGGGGCTCTGGATTTTGGACTTTCGTTGTGTAGCCGTAAAACCAAGTGCCAGAGGGACGGACAGACGGACGGATAGACAGTGCCGGGTGTGTAGGAGGAGGGGCAGTGGCAGGGGCAGGGGCAGTGGCAACCAAAATGCTTTTGTCTAACTTGAGTGAATTATGGTCAGCGGTCGGTTGGTCGGTCTGTTGGTCGGTCGGTGGTTGGGCGGCGGCGGCGGCGGCGGCGACGGCGGCGGCGGTTGTTGCCTGTTTGTTTCGGGCAATTTCCGTACAATTTGCCATGTTGCATGATGTTGTTGCCGCTCCGGCTGTTGCTGTTGCCGCTGCTCCGCTATATACGTATATATTTGTGTTGTTTTTTTTATTTTTTGGGTAAATTCGCTCAGGGAGAAACAGTTGAAACGCATTATACGAACGCAGATCTGCGGTCACAAACTACTTATGGATTCAATTGAGCATGACCTAGGGGAGGGGACGGGGAACGGGTGTAGCGGGTGTAGGGAGGCAGAGTGGATTGGTGGGGGTGGCAAGTGGCAAGTAGGAGAGGCACACGACAGAGCAGGAGGCATGTGGCAAGAGGTTGCCAGCTGACGCTCTGTTGCCCGGCTACAAATTATGCCTTTAAAATTAAATGAAATGTTTGTGGATTGGGGAATTTCGTGGCTGTGGCACCCGAGAGATGCTCGCTGGATGGGGCCAGGGGGGGAGGGGGTGTATCTTGGGCGAAATTATAAATTCTTATCATAGCGCTACTTATCGCGGCATGCGGCACGGGGCTGTGCCCCAGCTGCACTCTACTTTACTTACCATCTTGTCGGCCGCCCCAGCCACTGACGGACGTGGCCAGCACCAGCATTAGCAGCGGGCCAAGCCAACTTTTTGTCGATGTCATGCTGTTGCTCCTCGTCGTTGTCCTGGCGGCCCACTTGGAGTGGGTGCGCGAGTCGGATGAGGCTTTGTTTGCCTGCAAGACCAGCTGCTGCCACAGGAATATCAGCCACGTAATGCTGCTGCTACCGCTGCTGCTGGCAAGTTGCTGGGGCTCTCCATTCTGCTGCTGCTGCTGCTGTTGCTGTTGTTCCTTCTCTCGCTCCAGACTAATATCACCGTTATAGTTAAAGCACCTACATTCATCATACTCATAGTCATTCTCCTCCTTAGCCTGCTCCTCCTTATCATCATCATCAGCAGCAGGAGTAGATGCTGCCGCTGCCGCTCCTGCTGCGGCGTCTTCATCGTGCGGCAGCTCTGCGCCAGTTGTGGCCCACCGTGGCACCGTGGCCACCTCTGTGCTGGTCGTTGCTTGCGAATTGTATTCCCTCAATGTTGTTGCTGCTGCTCTGCTGATTGGATTTACCTTGGCCAGTGTGGCTGCAGACGCATGACTTGGTCTTTCGCGTCGCATTCGCTCACGTCGCCAGCATCGCTGGTCCGACGCCGTCGCTGCCGCCGCCGCCGCGGGTTCCAGCTGCCTGTGCTTGCCACATTCCAGGGCTCTGCTGCCACCACCCACAACAGTTGGCACAACTAATTGCAACGTCTGTCTGAGATCGGTGCAACCATGGTGCTCCTCCTGCTGCTGCTGCTGGAGGAATTTCCCGGTTCTTGTCGGTGACGGTGCAGAGAAGGAGGACATTGTTGCCGTTCCCGTTGCTGTGGTTCTGGCTGTGGCTGAGGCTGTGTCTGTGTCTGTGTCTGTAGCTGGTGTCAAACCCGACGCTGAAGCATGTTTATCATAATTTTTATATTCCCAGTAATGCTGACAACAGCAGCTGCCGTGGCAGCTCCTCCTGCTATCGCTCCTCGTCTGGCAATGGCTACGGCTATGGGTCTGACTCCGACACTGGCTGCCGGCCGCAGGCACATGCTTACATGGATAGCAGAAAGGCGGTAAATAGATTAACGACGTTGTTCCTGCTCTCGTCTTGGATGTGGATGTGGATGTAGATGCGGATGTGGACGTGTTCCCGCTGAGGCCAGAGCTAGAGCTGGTGCCCGCCGCTATCCTGTCTGCTGCCTGCATTTGTTGCCGATGCTGATGCTCCTGGTGCGCCGTATCCTGTGGGGCAAGCGACACGAGACAAGAGTGGAATATTTTATTATTATAAAGTACAAAAACATGCTGTGTGTGGCACAGCCAAGCAAATATGATATAAGGTGGCAAAAGGCAAGGCTCCGGCTCTGGCTCCGTCGCTGGCGACTGCCTCGAATTTGAATTTTAAATAAAGCGCCACCGCATCGTCCCAACGACTCGACGCATATATAAATAATCCCCACAAAATTCATTGTTCATCGGATGGCATCCGAATACAGTTGCCTGCCCCACAAAAAGAATACCAAAACTTCCTCGGCGGCGCATTAAAAAGCAATAAAAATAAATATGGGCTCTGGGAAACCCAAAAAGACGGCGACTCCCAATCGAAATAAAATGCCCGACGACGCGTAAATCAAAAATCACGCGCTATAAAAAAATTAGACAAAATTTATACGCATCGATATATCGGTATACAAATGTCTGCAGCGCCTCCCCCCCCCCCCCCCCCCCCCCCGACCTCATCAGCGCCTCTTCCGCTATTATATTTTCCTGCATTTAGCGCCTGCAGCCAGATGGGGGGGGAGAGCGAAGCCAAGCAAACGGAACCCCAAACAACCACTTGAGAGTTTTTTTTTCGGATTCTGCTGCGTGTGCCCCAAGCGGAAAAGACCATCGTAGACGATCGGCCACCAGCACGAGGGTCAGCCTTAATTTCCATATTGCATGAGAGCTTTTTCAACTAAATAATGAACAGACGGGAGTGTATCAATTGATCAAAACTAAATTGGTTGCGTTCATGATTCGTAGAGATCAGCGGTGCTCCCGCAATCGACGGGAAAAGTGCTAAAGAGAAAGCCCGAGAGTGCAAAAACAAAACAAATTTGGATTTGGAGCCTGGAGTGTGATTGAAGAGCTTTCAATAACCAATACATGTCCTGTACCTGACGAGCCTATTTGGTGTCTAATTCGAGACTGGGACAGAAAACAAAATTCATGGGGCTACAAGACAAATTTCTGTACGACTCGAGAATGGGACCGAGACTGGAACCGAGACTGGAACCAAGAATGGGACCGAGACTGGGACTGAGACTGGAACCGAGACTGGGACCGAGACTCAGACTGAGACTGGGACCGAGACTCGGACCCATGAAACCAAAAACAAAATACATGTGGGTTGCGGTATTTTTTTTTATGATTTACACTGCTTCCAAAATTCAAATATACGCTGTTATCCGCTTATCCTCTGTTTCATCACACCATACGAAGAACAGGTAGGCGAATAGACCCAGGAGACATATTTTTTGTGTAACTTTTACAGAACTTTATTCAATGGCTTTCTATCCAAAGCGCTTCCGTTAAGGTCTACAATCTCTAGAAGAGGCGTCGAAGTGGAAACGACTACAGCCTGCCGGAAAGATGGAGACTTTAAGAACTTTCTTCGAGCAACTTTTCCAATCGATAATGTGCTAAATTGAAACACACATTCGGGACAACCCACACGAAAAGGGTTTCGAAATTGCCAAAAGCTTTTCCTGATCCCAGAGTCTCAAGAATCAAGAGCCCACGATGTAATGTGTGTCCCATGAATAATGCCACGAAAGTTTCGTTCAAGAATTCAGTATGCTCCAAAAGAATGTAAATCAAAGACCGACATCCAGGCCCGTGCGAGGAGTGGAAGTCGAAGGAGGAGGCATAATGCAATTTTGATGTTGTGTAAGCGCTCCTCTTAGCCCATCATCTATGCTAATTAAGTTAATTAAAAAGTACCAGCAAAGTATTTGCACTTGGCCAACTTCACTTCACTTCACGTCATAATCAAAGTGGAGGCGGCGCATCGAATGGAAAATGAAGCCCAAGTCATGTCAAAATGCTCTTAAAAAGCCAGAGCCCCATTCCCATTCCCATCATCATCACCAGAAGGGGCCCCAGATGCTGGGAGTATGACGATGGCGACGGCATACAGTGGAGAGTCTTTATTTAAAAATGAAAATGGAGAAAAAAGCTGACAAAAAAAAAAACGAGGCCAATTATAAGCTTCATCATTAATTTGAATAAAATTAATTTTTCCCCCCACACACACACACACACACACACACATAGAGCAGGAAAATGCCACAAAAGAAATGTGCCACAATAAGAGAGAGAAATGCTCCAGGAGGAGGTGCTGTGTGGCACAAACGGACTGAATGACAGAAGGAGGCAAAGGCGGAGGCGGAGGCGGCAGAGTCGGAGGCACGAAATGACAGCAGACGGTGGCAAATAAAACATTTAGGCGGAATTATAATTTTACTTTGCTTATTTATAATTTACGTTTAAAATGTGAAACACCTGACAGCTAAAGAGAATTTATGTTTGCATGTTTTCCATTAATTTATTTTTCCAAGGCGCAAGGCGCAAGGCGCATGGCGTCCCCCCTCTTTCCTTTCAAGGAAAAATGCCCAAGACCAAGTCGAGACTGGGAACTGCACGAAAATGCACAGAGGCCCGAACAGCAGGGGTTTGGTGGATGGGAGACGGGGCACGGCACAGACAGAGGCACAGACAGAGGCACGGGCACATTTTGCTATCACGTTTGGACTATAAAACAGAAACAGCCCCAGCTACAGAGCCCTGCCTGATGATGTTGTTGATGACGTGGAGCGGCGCTACGAAGCAGCCGCCAAAAATGGCAAACGGGTAGTCTCAGGTCCCAGGCAAGAGGAGGAGCACCAGCCACAGAGAGGGAGACCCGGAGACCCGGAGACGTCTCGACGCAGTGCAAAAACTTGTCAAGTAAATATAAACGAAATATGTGGCACGGCACCCGTTCGCCGTTCGCCGTTCTCCGTTCTCCGTTCGCTGTTCTCCTTTTACTTGCTTTATTTTATTCCCATTTTATTATTATTTTCGCCCCGGACTGGCTAGAAGAAGATGCCACAGACGCCACAGCAGCAGTGTGTGGCAGAACCAGCAGCAGCCGAACACATAAAAAATATTTTTATGCAACATTTTTATGATTTCCGTCTGGCTGTGACAGAGCGCAGAGCGGCTTGGCCACAAAGAAACATTGTCCATGCCCCCCCCCCCCCCCCCCACACCATCCACCGTATCCCGGTATCCCGTGTCCAAAATATCTCCTGCTTCACCTGCTTTCAATTAAACGACACTTTTCTTTTATGCGACGGCTTATTTCTCATTACGATTGCACTATTCTCGGTTTTCCCCCTTTGTTTGCACTCAATGCTCATTTCTTTGCGAGAGATTCCCCCGATTCCCCGACTCCCCGACTGCTGGGGGGTTGAGGCTGGTGTGTTGACGGCCCGCCTGATGTTTCCCTCAAAAGGGGGTTACGGCAATGGCTGTGCTCCCTTGTCTCACTTCATCAATCATTAATTTCGTTTATTTTTAGTGAAAATAATCACTTTGGGCAACATATGTGACCGAGCAGCAGACGTATCTGGAAGATGCGCATGGTCCGAAACACCTCCGTGCAATTATCAAATGGACTTTGTCCCGGTCCCAAGCCCAGTCCCAATCCCAATCCCAATCCCAATCCCTGGGACACGTTGCGTGTTTTGTTGGGTTAATGTGTGTGAAATGACTTTATTGGTTTTCAGGTGGCATGGTGTGGGTCTGCCTCTGTCTCTGTCTCTGGGTTTCGGTTTTCGGTAAATGATGGCCTTGCTTTTAATGGACACATGTGTATCGACACTGCCAAGGGCGGCCAGACTGGGGTTAAGTGCGGCTTAGATGGGGATAATAACGCAGACATACAAAGAGCTTTGCCAACAGAAAACAATTGCTGAACAATTTGTTCACATCTGATATTTAGTGGTGGATACTGTAGCCTTGCTCTCCATTTTACGAGTATATCCACAAAATCAATTGCACTGGAAGAAGGCTTATAGATTTATATCTCGTAAACAACAGCCTTGCCACTCATACTAACATACAGTTCTGTAAGCATTCGCATTAGCTGATGAGAGTGGTTCCATCTAAAGGGTTGGTTACAACCAATAAAAATGGTTGTTTTCTTTCCCATAATATTGGAAATTGTTTATCGCACATTGAACCCTGGGTTTTCCATAATTGAACATCGATAGTACACTCGTATTAAAAAATATTATAGAATATTAATACAATCATTCATCGGCCTTTGTTCGCTTCATTCGTAGGAGTCTGTTTGCTTATGGGACATTGTATACAGCGAAACGATATAATTTGCATCATTCGATAGTGTTAAACAAAGGCTTCCACTCATCGCATTTCGAAATTCGTGGTACACGTAATACAGGATGGTGACACAGCTGTCCCACCGGATGGAATGCATTCGCATTCGTAACACTATCGCGCAATTGTCAGCGAACACTTCCTCAGATGTGTTGGAATCTTTGGTCATTTCAGTGACTAACCCGCCTAGTCTTATCGCTTTTTCTAGTGCAACATACAATTGTACTATGCCATGAACCAAAAATAGAAAACTCTCACAGATACACATGTATAGATACAGAGTTACTCACAACTTTCCACACCCAAATCCCACACGCACCTCGAGGTAAATTAGTCAACAACTCCGTAGTGAAAGAGGCGGAGAGTGGCAGAGCCAGAGCCAGAGCCGGAGTTCCGTTCCCGGGGCAATTCTCCTAATGCAATACATTTCCGCTATGCTGCGGGCTGCGGGGTCGCCTGGGTTGCCTGGTCGCTGCGCTATCGGTTGAATCATGCATACCAACATGATTTTTATCTATATGTCGATAACATAAATATGACGAGGAATGGGGGCCTGGACAGAGTGCAATTGCAGTGGTGCGCGCACCTCATTGAACTTTTCAGACAAACACAATTTGTCCGATAAGGAAAAAACGTCTACACGACACCAGGGACGAGGCGGCAGGGCACACGAGGCTAGGCGGAAGGTGTGTGTGTCTCTGTGTGTGTGTGAGTGTGGAGGGTATAGAGAAGGGGTGGCTTGGTTTGGAGGCGGGGTTGAAGCGGCCGGTCGAACGGCGCGCGCACTAATGGCCACCATTAATAATTGAAAAACTGAAACAGTCGGAGCATGTGAGGAGTAACCGGAGGAGGCAGTGTTGGATGGTGCCCCATCGTGGGGGGTGTGGAGATGGAGATACAGATACAGTGATGATACAGCATGGTGCTGAGGTAGAGGCAGGGCTAGGGGTCGACAAAAATCTATAACCAAAAAAGTTATGAATAAGCGAACGAGCCAGCCAGAGAGGAGGCGAAGCGAGAGCAGGGCCAGGCCAGAGCACGAGAACCGAGAGTCAGTCGAAAGCTACAAACCTGTTCTATGCTGTTTTCGTTGTTGTTGTTGTTTTTGTTGTTGTTGTAGCTGCTGCTATAGTTGTAGTTGTAGTTGTAGTCCATGGCGACTCCAATGGGCTGGTGCTGCTGCTGCTGCTGCTGCTGCTGCCGATGCTGCGACGCTGCAGCGACGTCGACAACGACACGGCGACAATGTTGGAGCTCCTCTTCTCGTTCTCCTGGTTAGACTCGTTCTTATTGCTGCTGCTGCTGCTTCCGCTGCCGCTGCTGCTGCTCCTTGATGATGATGATGAAAATGCAGCAACAGCAACGTCCAAGTCCAAGTCAAAGGGAATCGCGTGCGAATCGTAGCCAACCAGCATTGGAAAATTTACAAAATTCCTTCTTCGGTTGCTCTTAGCTGGGGAAGCTTTCAGTTTTGTATCTGTATCTGGGCCTTATTGTTGGTGTGATTTTTAGACGAATTTTCCGCTGCAGGGCAGCAGCCAGAAGAATCGCAAACGCGCACGAACCGAAACTGAGACCGAGACTGAGACTGCGACTGAGTCTGGAACTGTGACTGCTCGTGGGTCGTGGTCGTGGTCGTGCAGCAGGGGGAGGCGCACACAATATTGGAGCAAGGTGTTTCCAAACACACAGAGAGACCGAAACGAAACGAAACGAAACCGATGGCAAATATTCTCGCCGTGCTCTGAACTGCGCAAAAGCAGAGCTAACGCTGGCTGCGAGCTGAGAGCTGAGCTAAAGTCTCTGCCGCTGCTGCTGCTGCTGCTGCTGCTGAGAAGACATTTTTGTTGGGGCTAGCATGCGAAGCTCCACCACCGTTTGCACTGGCTAGATTACGTCTGCCGCTGGGGGCCGTCGCCGTCACCGTCGCCGCCTGCTCTCTGCCGAGCTGCTTCGGCCGCCTGCCTGCCTGCCTGCCCGTCAGCCTCTGTGTCAATCGAATTAAATGGAGAGCAGCAAACTGAGTAATTGGGGTTTAGATATTTTTCCACAGCTAGACAAAGTTCGGTTTCTTTTGCACATTTGTTAATTGAACGAATTGAAGGAGATGAAGTTGTTTGTTGTTGGGTGCAAAACCCTACGCGACACACACGCACACGCACACTAGCACACACCACACACTGGCAGACGTCGTTTTTTTCAAGGTATACAAAATTCTGCACACCACACACTGTAGTTTTTGCAGTTTTCTCGCCTGTGTTTCTTCTCCCAATTGAACTTTGTTCTGGCGTGGCCTGGCTTGGATGGTAAAAAACCTTGAACTCCGCCGTTGTCGGATACGCTTTTGAGTTGCAAGGCAATTTGATTTGCACCCGATTTTCACTGAATAGTCGTTTCTCTTTGTTTTATTGAATTTTCTTCTTTCGACCGACGACGCGCTCTCACGGACGGGACGGGCCGAGCACAGAGGGCGATACACACACACAGAAGAGCACAGGCACGGGTCGGGTCGCTGCTGCGAGCTGAGCTGAGCTGAGCGCAGCCGAAAACTTCTGCTGCAATACACAAATTTCTTTCTTGTTTGCAGCGCCAGCGCGCCGCGCACGAGAGCTAAGAAAATAGTATCTATGGGATGTGTGTATCTACGCGTGTCGCGCGAGATACGACCGCTCGGTTCGGATTTTCGGTTCGAATGAGGACCAGCAGAGCGAGAGTCTGATAAAGAGAGGCATAGAGTGAGTGCGAAAAGAGGGTGAGAGTGAGCGGTAGAGTGGTTATCGATAAGCGTTTTCCACCACCGATAACACATAGTTTCTGCTGCGTTGCTTCCTGATAAATCATTTTAAGGCACCTTAGATTTTTGTTTTCTTAAAGAGTCACCTCCCTTCAATTATGTATAATAAACAACATAATTTCACACCTTCTACGAGTACAAGTATATAATTTACCATATCCGTATGTATCTCCGTAATTATTCCTGTAAAACTGAAAATTCAAACTCGATATCGATAACATTTCTTATCGACAAATATAGCTCAAATATTGGCGCCAATAAAATCTGTTCCATATTTCTGTCAATCAAACCACTAACGACTATATATGTACATAGTCGATATAAATTTGTTGACCGATTCAGAGTATTTCTGATAACTTGTATCGTTGCGTCCGATTCGGCCTTAGTCATGTTTGTTTACAAAAGATACAAACACATCCACTAGTGCATGTACAGTGAGCGAGACAAGTTTACGGAGAACTTAAACCAAGCTAAGGAGTTAAGCAGGCCCGAAGCATGGTCACAAAACCAAATAAAGACCATCATAAAAAAGTCCAATAGTATGAGATTCCCCTTCCATTATATATTGTACATAAACTTTTTTATCTCACTATGAGAGTGGAAGAGTGAATGGACGAGGGTATACAAATACGTGCAATGGCAGATTAATATGCCGCTCTTAAAGTATTTATGAGACAGACTCTTCAAGATGCTTGAAAGCTGAATCAGCTTTGTTGTCCAATCCACACTTCGCCTTGTTCGACAGTCCCAAACCGATTTGTATACACCAGACCGCACAAAGTGTACACAAGGAATTAGCAGGGACTGGTCTGGCTGAGATGCTGTATGCAATATCAATTTACGAACCATGCCACAGAAGAATAACAAAGGCTTGTTGATAAATACGTTCTTTGGGTGACATACCGATATCCCCGCACATGGGAAAGGAACCGAGAGAACTGAGAACTCTTTTTACAAAGAACTTCAGTCATAACAATGCTTAAGCGGAATTTACGAAAGAATATATATATTATATATATATATATATATATATATATATATATATATATATATATTATATATATATACAGATTGTCTGTAAATTGGAATGAAAAGAACTATAGATATTTTTAAATTTTAACCTACCTTTTATGATGTAAATATTTCCACAGAAATACCTATTGAGATAGGAGATCATTAAAAAAAGGATTCTTATTACAAAATCCAATTTGTTGTTTTTTTTTTTGTTTGTTAGATATGTCTCAAAATGGACATGAATATAGATTTGTACATAACTACATTGAATTACAATAAAGAACCCAAGATTGTTAGAGAATCAGAAAATGGAATGGAATCACTAATGGCATACGATATAAACTAATAAGCTAGTGGTACGTAGAGTTCTTGGGTTTGTGCTACTTGGAGCTGGAGGTGTCCTGCTCTGGCTTCTTCTCATCTTTACTATCCACTTTTTCCTGAGGCTGGGCTTCGTGGTTGTGCTGCTGGTTCTTGATGACCAGCTCTCCAGTCGTCGAGCAGGTGATGATGCGAGCAGCGCAACGCAGATAACGATTTCGGGCACAGAGCCAATAGGTTTTGGATCCCCGTGAGTTGTTCCGGTAGTACTCGAATCCGCCCATCAGCAGTTTGGGCTTACCTTTGGTGCCCTTGACAATCATGATTCGTCTCTTACGTATAATATCTGCAAGAAATAAAAAGTGTTAACCTAATCAGTTGGGATTTCAACAAGAGAAACGTTCTAGACTATGGATATGCATTCCATTCCATCCGCGACTAATTACATTCTTTACCTGTTTGTATCGCGAACATTTTATACATATGTACACATTTATCATCTATAACTCTTTTTTTTAATCGGTTTATGGTTATCCTTAATTATATTAATCATCATTAAATGCTTAAACATATCAAGAATTTTTATAATGAAACACTTTCATCCAACGATTATACAGTATTTAAGAGCAAATGTAAACAAGACGGAACTAAACGAATAATGTTCCATTTTATTTTGTTTTTTATGGAAAGTGGAAAGACATTGGTGTGGTTAGTGTCACAGATGCGAATGCTTCGCAAATTTGATACGGTACACCTCCTGGCCGCTTTTCAGCTTATGTGTTGTGGCCCGCACCTTGCAGTTGGCACTCCGGTAGCGGGCACAGCGCCAGTTGACGCTGTTCTTCAGCTTGCGATCCATCACGAACTCGTGCTTGTCGATGATCAGTTTCAGCTTCTTCTTTCGGGTCCTGGTGAACGAAGCCAAATGTAAAAATTCTGAAATGGAGAATACATTGGATTAGTGGTAGGGTCTGTCTGGGATCGGTGGACAATCTGGGTGTGTGTTCAAATGAGGACCTTATATTACGGGCTGTTTACAATTGGGGTTTATTAGGTGTGAAATAAAGCTGAGATCAAAGCATACAGAAGGAGTTTAAGATTACAAATTAAATCTATTTCAGCCTGCGTCCGTTGGCCGTGGGGGCATGGCTATGCTTGCTCGAATGGATAATATGTCCGCGAAGCGTGTGGATCCGACCATGGCACTTGATATGGGTCGTGTACTGGGTGCATCGCCAGTAGATCTTTTCGTTGACGGTCTTCTCCCGGACATAGGAGTAGTCTTCGTGCAGCAGCAGGGTACGTCCCTTCTGGCTCAGGCTGTAGGTAAACTCTGAAATTAATAAAAGTTCGAACAGCTTTGTAAGTATAAAATAGTAGATAAATAAAATGGTGATTCATGGGCTGGAACTAAATAGATTTCAGATGAGTCTTTCATTTTTTGTTGGCCTTAAAACAGAATTTAGTTTCGATTTATTCTTAATAATTGATGGCTTTTCTGCTTTTCTCAAATTTACACATAATTCTACGCGCCCTCTTTCTATCTCTTTAGATGGACTCATGCGTCAGTTCCTGGAGTTGCTCGACCTCCTCCTCGTGAAGATCGAAGCCGACGGCGTTCCCGATTTCACAGTCCAACTTGGCGGTCATCTGACGGGGCTCCCTTAGCGTCTGCACCTTGCTGGAGCTGTACTTGTTGCGCTTCAGCTCGGCGTGCATATGCTCTGCCTTGGCGATGATGAATTTCGGTGGCGACTCCTTCAGCATTGTGATGCGTGCGGGACACTTGAGCTTCTTGGTGGCCATTGAGCTGCAGCGCCATAATATTTTCTTCTTGTTCTCGCTCATAATCAGGAAGCGTATGCCGTTGGCCATGATGGCGGGTCGTCCGCGCAGGGATTGGGTGAAGAAGACAAGTACATCCTCCGGATTGGGCACCTCATCGTTGGCCAGCACAACTGCAAAAAGAAAACGGAATGCAAAAATGCAGATTAGTGTCAGTGGAAAGTGTCATTTGGGGGCAAACACAAAAAAGTAAGTGGACAAGTTCGACGCTCCTCGTTGGCACTCGGTTTAAGTTTCTCAAGATTTTATTTACAGCTCAAAGAAGGCCAATGTGATTATAAGACGATAGACTTAGCACTTAAATTACATATGGAACAACTCCATATCCATTGCCTCGGGCAGACTTCTCACGCTGGCAACCACAGGCATTGTCGTTCCCTGCTTCGACTTGCGATTCGGCCTGATGTGACGGTGCTCGTGTATCTGGCGGAAGTCCCGGGTGTTCGTCTTGCTCATGCAGATGAGCACGGGACAGCGTGTGGGTCGGTAATACCAGTGACAGCGCCAGTACAGATTCGTCCGGTTGGTGTTGTTGCGGAAGAACTTCATTCCGTCCAGCCAGAGCAGCTGCCCGCCGCGCTTCGATACAGAGAACTGGATGTTGGGATGGCTGCCCCTGTAGTCGCCTCGGCCATGGATCGAAACTGAAAGCAACCGAGAAAGCAATAATACATGTTAGTATGGATTTCGTCAAGCTCTGTAGACAGCATCTTCTGTAGGAAAAAAGATATTACATACATTCATTATTAAAAGACGACTTGACATTGGCTTCCTTTAATACACAGAATTGCACACGCTTATCAACTAAGTAGCTAAGTATCTATATCCCATTTAGAAGTCAAAGCAGGGCTTCGGTTTGAAATTGCGGAGTGGCGGCGGTGGCCGAGAAGAGGTCGCCCGTGGCGGTGATAAATCGGGTTCGGTCTCCGAATCGGGCTTCTCATCGGGCTCGCGAGCAGGCTCTTGGTCAGGATCCCTATCGGGCTCCAGGTCAAGTTCCCTGTCGGTCTCCGGATCAAGCTCCCGTTCGGTCCTGCCCTCAAGGTCCTGCCCATCTGGTTCTCTGCCCGCCGATGCACCGGGCAGCGGCTTAATCTCAATATCGTTGCTCTCCATGTGCTGGTGCTGGTGACACAGTCGCAAGATCAGCGTGGACTCGTCGTGTATAGCTATGGCGGGACAGCGTTCTTTGTAGTAGTTGCGGCACTTCCAGTACTGCAAATTACCCCGCTTCTTGTTACGGAAAAAGCGAAAGCCGTTGATGACCAGCAGCTTGCCGCCGTTCTTCTTGGAGTCCGCAAAGTCAATGTGAAAGGCTGTGGATGAGAGAGGAGAGCCCGAATTAGTAGAGTATAAAGCTATACACAGCAACAGCAAGACTTAACCTAATCTTAGACTAATTCCACATCGAGTTAGGATTCAACACACATTGATTTATTTATAAATAGCTGCTAGTCCATCCGCCAGACAACATTTGTGCTTTGGACAATCAATTACTTAGGGCTAGGCTTAGGTAGATCTCTTTTCCCTCTTGATCAGCTTGGGGGAGATTCTCGAGCACTCTTCCAACAGGGACAACTGCTCCGTGAGGCTCTTTTGGGGAAATTTGCGACTGTGATCGTGGTCAAAGCTGCACTTGATGACACGGGATTGGCCATTCTTGTCCAGTTCGGTCACAACTCTGGATCGACACACAGTCACATCCTGGGGGGTAGACAAGCAATAACAAATACGATCAGTTTAAATGCCGTATTCCAAGAGCAAATACGCACCTTTTTGGAGCAAATCCAGTAGGTGCGCGTGGCTGAGCTGCGATTCTTGACGAACTTCTCCTCGTGATGCAGCAGCACAGTCCTGCCCCGTTGTCCTTTTCCAAAAACGGCCAGCTCTGCAAAATGTTCAAGAATGGAATTAGTAAACGATATGGAATGGTTCTTTCAATGTATGATATGGTTTACATATATGCAAATGTGAGGAGGAAAATCGAATCGTAAGGCTAGCTTTCAATAAGTTTATTTGATCATTTTCAAAAAATTGGGAAGTTCTACTCATGATTATGTACACCCGAAAGGGCCACAGAATAGGGCTTGGTCCTGTGTGTTATTACGTGCGCCTTGCATTTCCTCTTGCAACAGACCCAGTAGACGCTGTCTTCATAGTTGCCATGATGCTTGTACCGCCGTCCGTTGTAGTTCAGGATATCACCACCACCACGAGTCTGGTCGAAACTAACGAGATCCCAGTTGTCCCGCGTGCGAGTACATTCCCGCTTTTCGGACAGTCTATAGCGTATGGTCTGTGGACCCGTAGCCTTGGGCAAGAAACTCTCATTGCCAAAGATGCCCAGAATAGACGGATCGTGTTCCATAAAATCTGCAATAGAAATAAGAAACAAAAAAAGAGAACGGAAAATATTAAAAAAAACTTATTTCTAATACATATTTTAGTAAAAATAAAACGACAATGGCACATTATTACAAAAAAGGAGCATTCATATATTTAAGGTTAATTAACAAAAATGTACGAGTACATAAATATTTATAACCAGCCACCACCAGAGCCTTCAAGTAGAAATCATAAAATTCAGCTAAGCAAAAAAATAAAAAGTTAAATTAAAATTAGAAATGAGGTTATTTGAGGGGGGAACTTACCTGTCCGCCAATATACCAGTCCAGGATACACGATTGTTTACTCTATTTGACTGGGAACCGGGTACAGATTTAAATATTTATTGGAAATATGCTATTATTAGTCTAGTTATTATTTAGGATATTGCTGTGCTTAAGTAAAAGCTGTCTAAAACTACGTGAATATCTCCGTTACTGGTGATTGTGCACACCACTGACGTCGTAGCGGGACTGCCCGCTGGGAAGCACATGCGTAATGATCCGTGAGCGGCATTGCTTGCGCCACTTGCTGCACTTCCAGTAGACCTTGTCCTTGTAGGAGGCATTGCGCAGATAGCGATGTTCGCCGCAATGAAGGACACAGTTGCCGGCGGGCGTCCTGATGTACTGCACATCGCTCTTGGCGAGCCGCACGCGCTTCACAATATGCTGCTGTGGATATCGCCGCGACAAGGTCATCATCTCAAAGGGCTCTGAAAGGCAGAGGAAAAGGTCACAGATTAGTGGTATATCGAATGGTGAATGGATGCTTTATCTTCTGGTTATCCGCTTCTGCAATGATATAACAGCCTAATTACACAGGTATTAATTTTATTTTTAACATTATAAAGTATTCCCTAATTTCGTTTTATGGCTAAAGGCTGAGCTTCGTTTCGCTTCGACTCATTGCAGCTGTTGCAAGTCCTCGATGCTTAGATTGAGCGAACGCAGCTCCAGCGTGAGATCCTCGTTGTGCGTTTCCGTTTTGATGTAGCCGGGCATCGGTTTGCCGGCCCTGCAGCGGACTGCCTTGACCAGCGGACTGGTCAGGGAGAGACGCTTCTTTCGCTCCATATTCTGGCAGGTGTGATGGCACGACTCCAGCACAATCTTGTGCACGCCATCGACCACGTTGGTCACAACGCGAGCATTGCACTTTGTGCTGCCCTGCATCGAAAACAGAGAGACAGAGAGAAATGTTAGGGCGCCTACGATACTGTCAGGTCTAGTTCTAGATAACTGCTTGATAATATAACACTGCAGATTATTGTTTCTAATCCTATGGGTTGGATAGACTCACCTTCTTGGAGCAGATCCAATACGTTTTCAGGTTACTGCGACGATTGCGCACATAGTTGTGGCCGTTGAATGCCAGCAGCTTGCAGCCGCGCTGTCCCCGGATGAAGGTGAGCAGGCTGTGCTTGATGATGCCCTTCATATCGTCCATGTCCGGGAAGTCTGTAACGATGACAAACGAGTGTTTAGTGTGGGGCTCGATGGAAGAGAGGCAGGCGTATACGCGTAAGCATAAAATACGATTTGGTTTCTGGGGGCAACTCTTTGTATTATCTATTAAATATTAAATATATATGTATTTATTTTGCTATACACATGGCGGTGCACCCGGGTCTCGAGGGGGATGCGTGCTGAACTATAGTTAGGACTACATCTAGTAGGGCGGATGGTTGTGCTCATCGCACTTGATGGTAACATCGTGATCCTGCACGGTCACCACGCGCGCCTTGCACTTGTGGGCGCCAGCCCGGGCACAGGACCAATAGGTCTTCGAGCCCGTCGACTTGTTCCTTGTGAAGGTAAAGTCGCCAATCTTCAGCTTTCGGCTGCCGCGAAAGCCCGTGATGTACGAATAGTATGAGACGGTATCTGCGAATGGCAAGGAAACAGAAAATGGTTAGTACAATGATCCTCGGGCGCCTGGGATAACAAAGATCTTATGCAACAGAAACTGAAACTAGTTACAACTTGGCTAACTTGAGTTTTATTAAGGCTGAAGTGTACATTAGGCTTAAGACTAGTCCGCTAAGTGGTTGCCGAGGGTGTGGCGAGTGGATCTGTTTTTGGGTCGGACTGATCCTTGCCCCGATCAGCCCGGGCAGCCGCCTCGGCCTTCTGGCGCTTCAGGGATCCGTATTTGCGCGCCTTGGTGATGACCTCGTGGTTGTGCTCGCTGTTCAGTATCGTAAGGGTGTCCGATTTGGTTTTGAGCCGCGCCCGACACCGCAGCACGGCAAACTGAAAGTGCAAATAGACAATAGTTCGGGCTGTGGCAACACTAGGCTGTGCCTGTGGCTGTGGGGAAAACTCACCTGGGAGCAGCGCCAATAGGTGACATCGTCGCGACAAATGTGGCGATTGAATGTGTGCTGTTTGAGCATGATCTGCCTGGTGCCGTACTTGCTGACGATGAAGAAGGGCGTGTTGGTGCTGACACCGGAACCGGCCTCCGCCGTGCCATTGCCCAGCTCCATGGTCGTCTCGCCCACATCGACGCTGATGTGATAGTCGAACTTTGCTGCAATGGTAAGACGGGAGGGGGTGCGCGGGTTAGTTGTCTGGCTGCTGGCTTTTGTCGGGGTCGGATTCGGATCGCAGCCGCCCCTCTCCTCTCCAATGAGAAATAAAACACTCGTGGGCTTGATTTGTCAATTGTTTGGTTTACATTTGGGCAATAGATTGATTACTGTCTAACAATGGGTTGCTGTTAAGTCTAGGGCTAGGGCTAGGTCTATGGTGGAACCAGGGTTAGGGCTATATTATACATACAGATCCTTCCAGCACTAGCCGCAACAGTGCGCGGCATGACCGTTGTGCTTGGTGAGACGCGGCTTGCGGCTGAGCTCCACCAGGACATAGTGGGCCTTGCAGTTGGGCGTCAGGCAGTGGTAGTAGGAGCGGTACTGCATGGCGCGAATTTTCTTGTACAAGCGACCGCTAATCGTCAGAAACTCGCCCGAGGCCGTACGCTTGAACTTGACTGCGTCCTGAACGGACGGCGGTGTCGATGCTCCTGCTACTAGGAAATTGTGGGAGATTCAAAGGGAGAGGGTGAAGGATGAGATGATAGGATGATGAGATGGTAGAATGATGAGATGGGAGCTTAGGCTAAGACAACTACAACACAGCTAGTAACCTACAAATATCGGTTTTTGTTCTGTTTTTTGTTTAATCTTTAATATTGTGTTCAAAAGATGCCCTTAGTAATGAGCTTGGCGGGCACATTGTTGCCAGTGAAGCGGGGCATATGGTTATGGTCATTCTTGCCCAGCTTGATTCCACCCCCCGTCTTGGTTATGGCACGGGCCGCGCACTTGTTCTCGTTCAGCCGCTTCCCATTGCCGTCGGAGCATATCCAATTGACACTGGCCCTGAAGCTTGCCTCCTTCTTGTACATGTACCCGTTGTGGACGAGATTGTAGCCCTGCTTCTGGTTGCGCATGAAGAAGTACGGCGGCTTCTCAAGCCAGGCGCCCTTCGGCAGCACCGCCTCGAACTGGCCCAACGGGACTGCAATGGAATAAGGGAACGGTGATGGGCAACATACATTGAGTGGGTGCTTAGTGCTACAGATTGTCGGGCACCGAATCAGAAACTTAACCAAGAGAAAAACACACACACAGAGCTTTGGGGGGGATCAAATGGTTTATTTTGCTAAATCTACTAACATTTGTTATAATAAATAAAACACTAAATGTACATATACATATGTAGGTATCGCGCGAGTGGCAAGAGGAGACTCACCTGCGCATCTGGTGTCCCGCCATAATTCGGGCATGGCATGGCATGCGGGACACTCGGTAAAATGTGTGGATCAGGACATGGCATCCTTAACTTCCATTTTCAGCCCATTTTTGCAACTTTTTCTTGAGCCTTGCTACCTTGTTGCCACAAAAAAAAACTACAACGGTGCTCGCACACGCACATACACACACACTCGCGCCGCATCAGGCAAATACACACGCAGTCGCTTCCACAGGACAATTAAACACATATTTTCCACTCTCTACGTTGCCTTTGCACTGGCACACATTAGCACATACACTTTTCCACATTTTTGGGTCGTTTGGCAAGCGATTTACTAATTGCTTTAGCATAAACAAGCCGTTTCCAAAAACAAGCGAAGCAATGTAAAAACAACTACAACAAGATGGCGTGCTCCTAACAGAACGAAGTGTGCACACAGAAGAACTGTTGATAACATATACCATCGATATTTTTGTTTTGGAGTCGGGATTTCTTTGGTGCTCGTTTTTGTGATTCGAAATAAGCAGAAAGTGCCCACTTAATGTTTGTGTTGATAGTCTTGTACATTTAAATTGATTTTCTTAAACAAAAACAAGATCGGTTAAGGTTAAACTCTGCTAGTGTTGGGTAAGTATCGGCACCCTTATCAGCACTAAACTATACTACCATTGTAGACCAAAATTTTGCACAAAAAATAGTTAAAATAATTTTAGAGCACTTCAGGTAAAATATTGCATTGTTTTTTTTTTAGTTCAGTAAGTAAAATGATCGGCCATTTACCTGAAGTCGTTAAAAAGCGGGGGTTTAAATGGGTTAAGTTCGTTTTTTCATCCGTTTATAGTTTGGTATATTTTTGAGCGACAGACTGTACATTTTATCGCCGAGGTCCGCAAATTGTATACTTTTCTAGTTTTTTCTAGTTTTCTTCCCTGTCGTTTTTCACGCTGACGCTTACATGTGGCTTGTAGTTAATATGTAGCACATGTGTAGTTAGTGTGTAGTTACCATGTAAGGACAAGAATTTAGTGGAAATTGTTAATAGGTTGCAATAAATTTAAACAGTCTTGTAGGAAATTGATCGGATAAAAATGTGAGTTCTGAGCTGAGGGTTTTAGCTAGCTATTAATATTCAACGTATTATCAAAATTGAGGAAGTTGTAAAATATATCTTGAGTTCGTCAGTATATTTACGGTATATTTGTAAATTTGTGACGTATTTCGGTATATTTCTGAGGGTCAGTCACACTGCTTACCAGGGAGACCGTTTACTGTATTTTGAATACTTTTCGGTATTTTTTGAGGTCAAAATTGAACCTACGGTATATTTACGGTATATCGGAATACAATGGTATATTTGACCGATTTAATCAATCTATTGAATTTGATTTTCAACGTTATATGGAAATCCAATAAAAGCAATTATTTAGAATAAGCCAGTAGAGTAGAAAATTGATTCACTAATCGGATTAAATCATGTGGGCATGGCTAAATGTTCTAGATAGCTAGTAATATTCAACCGAATATCAAAAGCGAGGAACATGATGGTACTTGAACACAAATAATTCGTCCCTATATTTGAGGTATATTTAGAAATTTGTGACGTATTTCGGTATATTTCTGAGGGTCAGTCACACTGCGTACAACAAGCAAATTTTACAATAATTTTAATTTATTTTTATTTTTAAATTGAATAAATGAGCGCGGCGCAGCAGAAACTTGATCACCTTTGTTTTATTTTGTTTTGCTTTAAGTCTACACCGTCGGGGACAGCTTTTCTAACCTGTTGCTTCGTTTTCTTTCCGCAGCAGGAGCCACATCAACATCCACATCGGGGTCCATTTTGGCTGCGATTCCTCCACGCAAACGCGGACGACCAAAGACAAAAGTCGCCGAAGATGCAGCTCCCAAGCTGCAGCTGATTGACAAGCTAAAAGCAGCCACATTGAATGAAGCCGCCAGTGAGCAGGCCGTGTACCAATCAACCACCAAGGGTGAGTGGGCAGAAGCTCAACTTCAGCTTCACTGCACCTGTTGCATTACTAATGCCCCAATTATTTTTCCTCTCCCTCGAACAGGTGGGGTGAAGCTAATTTTTAAAGGGCACCTTTTCAAGTTCTCCTTCCGGAAGGCGGACTATTCCGTTTTCCAATGCCTGTACCGGGAGCACGGCGAGGAGTGCAAAGTGCGTGTTGTGTGCGACCAGAAGCGTGTCTATCCGTACGATGGCGAGCACGCCCACTTCATGCAGGCCAGCGACAAGAGCTGCCTGCCCTCGCAGTTCATGCCGGGCGAAGGCGGTGCCATTGCATCCTCTGACAAGGACAAGGGAGGAAAAGTAGACCTCCTGGTAAAGAAACCCAAGCTCAAGGAAGAAGAGGAAGAGCAGGAAGAGTTTGAGATCCACGAAATCGATGACCTTGAAATTGATGAACCGCCACAGATAGAAAAATCAGCCATCAAGGGCGTGTCAGACGAGAAGGATGAGCCGGCCGCTGCTTCTACGGACACTGCAGAGGATAACAGCTCCAGCTTGATTGTGACCCTGGTGCCGTCCGAGGAGGATGTTGATCCTAACGACTTCCGCGAGAAGATCAAGCGTCGCCTCCAGCGTGCTCTGCAGAACAAGAAGAAGTAACTGGATTGGGGTTGTCTGTTTAGACACAGAATCCATGCCGCAGTGCCTCGGACCAATTTTAACTACATTTCTTTGCTATTTACTTTGCTACAATTTCTAGGTTTTCCACCACATACAAATATATAAACTACAACTTAATCTAATTTAGATTTTCGTAATAAAATTGATGTCAATAGACTCGCGTGCCCATCCATCCAAACAAAATACTTAGTACGTAAGCCTGCAGATCCTCTGTATATATGTTTAACCACCATTCCATTCCACATTCATTCATGCAAGCAACACTCTAATCCAAATTCGATTCTCTATTTTTCAGTTACACAACATGTCCGAAACTGCGGCCCGCAGATGTTTTTGATCAGCCGCAAGGGCGGAACTCTGCTGGCCATCAACAACTTCCTCTATCGCTCCAATCTCAAGTTCTTTGGCAAGAACAACAACATTCTCTACTGGGAGTGCGTACAAAATCGTTCAGTTAAGTGCCGCAGCCGCTTGAAGACCGTGGGCGATGATCTCTTTGTAACGAACGGTTCGTGGTGCTACTTTAAAGAACGATTCCGATTCTCATTGCTTTCTACTTTCACACAGATATCCACAATCATATGGGCGACAATATGCGCATTGAGGCTGCCATGGTTTCTGGGATGCTGATCCACAAAAAACTTAGTTCCCTCACCTACGCTGACCGAACGCAGGGCTCGTGGAAGATTGAAGACGAAGCCACACCCGACCAGTAACCATGTCCATGTCCGTTTTAGACATTCCCTTATCGTCCGACATCAACTAGAATTAAGTTATTGTCTCCTCTATGTTTCTTCTGATTTAGACTGAGTGTACTATTTAGGAGGATAAGTAAGTACCTTTTGCATGTGGTTGGAACCAACAGTGTTTTGTCCTCCCCTCCCCCCCAAATAGTCTGGTCCTGGGTGTTGAGTATTTATTCCAGTATATGGCAGTGGTCGTCACAACCTGACGGAAAATAGCTATTGTATTCGTGTCACTGTTATAGGGGAAATACCACGTAAAATTTGTATTTTTTTAAAATTATCTTGAATCAGACGATCATATAATTAATGTATTTATTGATAGCATGCTAACACGTCGCTGCTGTACAACATATGATCTGTGGAAAATTAAGATTGGTTTTTCAATCGAATGGTAGCAAAATTAAAGCCAATTGTAGCTAGTAACTTGCCAAATTTTGTGCTTGCGAACGAACAGGATTTGATTTTACTTTTTTTGTAACTTAGGTACACATCATTTAAATATATTTTACCTCTCGGATGTTTCAATTATTATTAGCTGAAGGTGTACATACGGTTTTACAACCATTTGAGAGTATTTAGCTTTGGATATCACTCGAGTAGGATTTCAATTGGTTTGTATTATTTTTAAATATCTTTTAGCCCCATATTGCCGTGTTTGATTCGGACATTCTTGTGGTTATGCGAGGAACAGCAGATGCGATATTTAATCTCGTTTCCCACCATAAAGGTGGATGCTCGAGCCCGGCATCCCTTGTGGTGGTAGCGGCAGCGCCACGATCCGATCATATTGTTGACGTCGCGTATGCGGTGTATGATGAACCTTTCGTTGGCTATAATTAACTTTGGCCGCTTACTGGGGGATAATTTGAATTCGGCGGAGCCATCGAAGTCCTTGGTCTTCCTGCTGTACCGGCGTGTGGTCGAAACTGAAAGGAACAGAAACAGTTTTTGAAGGTTAGCGGGTTGTTGAGGTAATTTGGTGATGGGTCCAATATAATTGAGTTTAGACAGCGACGACAAAAAGATCTTTCTATGCATTTTTATTTTGTGTATTGGAAAATCCTTAGAGCTATTAAAACTTATAGAGAAGGTTGCACTTAGCGTAGGTACTCTACTACATCGACATCAGTTCGGAAACATACGTGTTTAAACCACAGACAGGGGTGCCCCAAATCCCCATCCATATGGGTGCTAGTAGTCCTTGTTGATATAGACAGCGCCGTGGTTTTGGTGCTGCTGCATCAGGGCAATCATTTGCGGCGGCTGCATGGTTAGCGACATTGGCATGGGCATCGTAGGAATAGGCACCGACATGGACAGATGTGTTGGCGCGGCTGGAAAGATTGTGGGCATCTGGGGCACCACGGGCTGCTGCTGCTGCTGTTGCTCCAGCTCCAACGGTGGAGAGGTCGGGTTCACTGGCGCGCATTTGCTGCCACTGACGCTGACATTGACCTTGGCCTGACAATACTGCTGACAGAGCGGCAGGAGATCCTTGTGCCGCCGCTTAATGTGGCTGAGGAAGTTGCCCGTAGACTTGGTGGTGCCGGAGATGAGGCCGTAGCAGGCGGTGCAGGTGGCCTGGATGGCGCCTGCCGTTTTCTGGCTCGGCTGTATGTTCCTATAGAACTTACCGTCCAGGATCTTAGGAAGGCTGAATGGCCTGCGGAATGACTCGTCGTCGCCCAGTAAGGTGAGGGCCAATTCGGCAACGGAACCTACTGTCGACATGTTCGTTGTGGGCGTCGGTGTCGTTATGGTTGGCGGCTCCAGCTTAATCTCAATATCTGAAAGTAGAATCATAAGAATACCACGTTAGTGAAGAGACAGAGACATTTGGCAGGCACTAGTCTATATGCAAAACGAACTGGCACGCACGATACGATAGTTATTTAAATTTGTTTTGATTTATTTAAGTAGAGCTAGGACGTAAATTATAAGTTTGGCTACTGCTCAGCGATGGACGACTACTGCAACTCGGGAAAATCATCCAGCAGGTCGGCCGAAAGGTCCAGCGAATTCACTTCCGGGCCATGAGTGTGTGGCGATCCAGCTATGCGGAGGGTAACATCCTGCACCTTGGACGTGACCAAAGTGGCGCGACAGCTGTGCTTCACATATCGCGAGCAACGCCAGAAGACATTCTTCAAGCTCTGTCGATTCACCACGTATCTATAGCCCTCGTACACCAGCATGACTCGGCCGCGCTGCGTGGTCGTATATTGGATGCTTGCGCTGGAGCTCTTGTCCTCTAAAAGAGCCTTCAAGGACTGCAGCACACCTGAAAGAAGTAACAGAGTTTCGATTGTGTTAGTTTGGATTGCTTGCCAGAGGAGCAACACAACATGAGGTGGAGTTATGGGCTACTTCATAAGATGATCGAGCAATTAGGTTACTGATTTTTATTAGCCAGTTTTATAAACGCAACAAACAATTTGGCAAATGTGCTCTATACTAATCCTTAGCATTGAATACGATCGCCTTCAGGGTCGACAGCTTGTGCTCTATATATTTCTGGACGATGGATGGTGTCAGCTCTTCGCCGCGTATGGCAAATACCTGGCACACATGGGCTGCAAAACAAAAGAAATGTTGTTATTCTTGAGTCTGGTGATTCTGATGCAACGCCGGCTATGTACTTATGATAGCATGCAGCAAGTCCTCGTCTGGCAAATCCTTGCCCTGGGCAATCTTCATCAACATCTCTTTACCAATCACCAAATCCGTGACACGCGAGGCATAAATCGCAGGCATGGGTATGTACGCCTTGGCCAGAGCCGCCTTCGACACTAAGACAGGACAACCATCATACAGGGGAATCGCGTCGCTGGGCTTCTTGGTAGACTTCTCGACTGCTGATGTGTTTACGTCTTCCGGCAACGGCTTAGCTTCCTTCGTCACCTTTTTGTGCAAACTTTTCGGCACGGACACCGACGCCACATCATCTGCAAGAGCACGCAAAAGTAAAACCATTATTTCAGCACAGCACTGAGATATTCAAATAGTATATGTATGAACCATAAACGTAAACAAAATAAAACACAGTTCAAGAGGTTCGAGGCTTTATTGGGTCAAGTAATCATGGGAGATCGTACATTTTTAGTGTACATCTGGCTGGGACCAGGAATCGTATTTATCGTCTATGATTTGTTAAATTAGTCATTTAGCCGAATAAGCCACAAATCTAAGCACGCACGAGACATAGAAATTAAATGGACTCCTGCAGGGCCGCATCGTAGGACAGCAAAACCATCGAAGACACTGTCGATATATCGTTTCAGCGAAATGGTATGATTTTTAAGGCTAGAAAATCAATAAGGCGCACTTAAATGGGGTGTGAAAAGGGAGAAGCGAAATGCATTATAGGAAACAATCTGCTCTAATACTAGGAGCGCAAAATAAATGAGTTTTTTTTTATTTTGTGCCAATTTAAAATCGCTATGGTGTAACCATCGATGGAACGACCATCTATCGATGGTTTTGCAGCCCTGGCACAAATGTGAAAAAAACTGCAACTATACGATGTAAAAATTGTTATTTATGTTTAATGCAAGTGTATTATTTTATAGTGGATCAGAAATGGGAAAAGTGAATGACCTCATTGAACTGTTCGTTGTGTGATTGGACCTTGGCCAGCCTGGATCTGCATCCTAGCTGGAAAGACGGGTGTACAAAGTGATTTGTGTGTTTAAAATTTTTGCAAGCGACGCCTCCAAAATTTCAACAAATGTGTACATATAATAAATGAGATCAAAACAGAAGCTACCATGTAACACTCTTTCAATAAAGTGTTATTGCAACATATGAAAACGAGCTAGAATATTATTTGGCGGATTCAACTTGGGCCGAGGGTTGAGCGGAATATGTCTAATCAATATCCCTACCACATCATTTTGTCTTGCAGGGATCGAAGATGAATTCAAAGTGCAGTTGCCGTTGCTGCCCCTGCTCAAGCGGAAGTCAGGCTCCGGCTCAGTGAAGAAGCAAAGCTTCGACCACCTGGACGTCTGCTTCACGCGTAGCAATCGGGGTAACAACCTGCTGACCATAGACGGCAAACCCTTCACGCTTAACCGTCGCATCAAGGATGCCTGCTACTGGGAGTGCGTCAAGCTACGTTGCAAATACATCAAGTGTACAGCGCGTGTGGTAACCAAATCAAATCAGATCTCGGCTCTGCGTGGCCATCACAATCATCCCTAAGTCAAGTCCTTCCTGTGCCATACTCCTCATTTTAGTCAAATAAAACGTTTTTTCTGTTAAACCAAAATGCCATTGTAGCTTCTGTAAAGTCTCGACTTGCAATTGGAGGCTTGAAACCGTTAATAATGCCTCGAACTCCTTGCAGATGGCGATGGCGATGGCGTCTACCAGCTGGTGACCAATCGGCGCGGTGGCCAGAACCTCATATACAATGGTCACATGTACTCAGTGGAGCGAAAGTACCATGCCAGCATCAATTGGGTGTGTACCAAGAACAGCAATCTCTTGATCCGCTGCCCCGCGCGCTGCGTGACCAACACCAACGACAACAGCATCAAGCTAAGTCACAGATCCCACAACCACGCCGCCAATCTGTTCAAGGTTCACAAACCACGGCAGTTCACTCGCCAGCGCCGACGGCACAGGCGGAGTGTCCCCTAGTCTTAATTCTTAATCTAAGTCTCGCTCATTAAGCTGTAATTTATGTATAATCTAAACCATTCTCTGACACATCACTAACCCAGACCGTCTCTAACTCTACTTGCATGCAGCCGCTCCGCGCCGTCGCCTGCCGCAGTACTGCAGCCGCTGGGCCGCCGGCCGTTTTACACTCATCGATGGGTTCCGCTTTGTGATTGGCTCCCAGGCCCAGCAACGCTGCTATCTGAAGTGTTCAAGCTTCCGCAGCAAGTGTCGAGCCCGGGCCATACTGAATAAGGCGAATGGAAAGGTTCAGCTACGCCACGGAGCACACAATCACACACGGGGCCAGCAGCAGCAGGCCATGGCGCGGCGTAATTCGAAGGATTGAGCAAGTACCAATCTCACTCTTACCAAATAAACAAGGCAAATGTTCCAATATAAACTATTTGATCGCTTTTCACTCATTTCTAACTCGAAGAATAACACATATCGACACATAAAACACTTCATTTCATTCGTTGAAGGGTATACTAACTCGAGGACTCTTTTCTTTTGCAGAAGGACAGGGACAGGTGCTGGCCGAGTATGTTCGGTCGAGGCGCGGCACCGGCCTGGTCTACTACGAGGGCAACACCTACACGCCCAACGAGAAGCTGCGCGAGGGCCAAAAGAGCCGTGATTGGAAATGCTCCATGTACCACAAGGCCAAGTGTCGGGCCCGTCTCGTCACGCGTCACACACGAATTGGAGATCTCATACACGTGACCAGCAGATTGCACACGCATCCCAGGATGTACGACCACCTGCACAAATCAGAAGACAAAGACTCACGCAAGCTCTTCCCAAAGCTTAGTCCGCACAAGAAAGAGTCCAAGTAGCCGCCACATCGTCTCGTTTAAGACACAACACAGACCTGCGCCTACAACTAAAATAAATCATTATAACATAATTGTATGCACAGTTTTGGCTTTTTATTTTGCATGCCATTCCATTGATTATTTGTTAATTAATTATATTAATTTATTAATTTACTCTTTTGCAGAATTCGTAGCCATTGGCAAACATTTGCCAGTGCAGTATGTATTGGACGAAGCCGGCAAGACAATGAAAATGAGTCCGGTGTCCATCAGGTTCATCGAAGGACAACGAAAGTCGGTGCAGCTGGTGTGTGGAAACTATGCCTATGCCAAGAACAACAAACACGGCGGCACCACCTACTGGAACTGTCGCAGCCGACGCCACGGGCAGGAGTCGTGCAAGGCTCGCCTCTCTACCAGGCACCACTCGAACGGCCGGTTCATAGTACACCTCACCCAACCGAAGCACAATCATCCGCCCAGCAAGCGCATTAATCGAATACTCAGCAAGAGTCTCTAAGAATCTCTAATAGACAGTAAGCCTAGATAGTAAGCAGCAAATATAAATGAGGCCCGCGTTAAGGCAAACAGCATTAAACCGTCTGTCTATCCTGTATCTATATTCTGTAGATTTAGTGAAGTCTGTATGTGAAATGAAACTAACCAAAAATATTGGCATTCTACTTGTCCGTCCACAGAAAACAGCATAGCCATCTACTCGGCCACATCGCGCGGACGCATGCAGCTCATATATGGCGGCCAGCCCTTCATCTTTGAGAAAACTCTGAAGCTGTCGTCGGGCGAGGAGAAACGATACTGGCGCTGCAACCAATGGTGGAACCAGAAGTGTCGCTCACGTGTGTTCACAGTCAATGATATCGTCTGTCCGCTGAATCGTTTCCATACGCACGAGGAGATTGTGCGCCGCAAGAAAAGAGTTCGTCGCGTGCCGGTCGACACCGAGGCAGTGTCCAAATCAACCGTCACCCGCCAGCAGCAGGAGGCGGCACAACAGCAACACCAGCAGCAGCAGCAGCAACAGCAACAGCAACAGCACCATCAAGAGATGCAAGAGCAGCTGGCCAGCGATGCGATGTTGACCACTGCATTGGAGGATGAATCGCCAGCGACCATTGATGTGAACGAGCTGGGGATGCACCTGAAGTACGAGGAAATAGTGGCCGATGTCACAGGCATGGTGGGCTCCAATCGCGTGGTCAGCCGCGGGAAGTGAGATGCAATTTCGCACCGAATCGTATATACAGACAAGTAGATTTAACTTGATTTTAGGGCAAGGACACTCTAAGATAGCACCTACACTATATACAATATATGGCTTAAAATTCAGATTCTAGCATACATACTACATATACCTACCTATAATTATACTATCTTCTAATAAACTATAAAAGCCTTTCACAGTAAAGAGTGCAGCAGTATCCCTCACAGCCATATTCCAGCAAAGTCATACCACTACCAGACAACACTTTACTAACCCGCCCGGGACACATGTTCTTATCTCTTTTTTGCAGAAGACGCGCACAAGTTCTACTTCACCAAGGGTCAGCGGGAGTCCGTCAAGCTGAACTACGCCGGCCATAGCTTTGTGAAGTTCATGCAGAATAGCCGCGGCACAAAGTGGATATGCGCCACCCGCTCCACGACCAAGTGCCGCGCCCGCGTACGCACCAACGAAAATAACTCTCTGGAGATTTTACATGCGCCGCACAATCACGAAATGCCACCAAAGCTGGAGAAAAGCCGCCACCGTCAGAAGATCAAAGCGAGGAAAGTAGACTAGGATTAACCTTAGCGAATCAGAAGACTAGACTCTAGTTTAAGTACGAAATAATGGTTATCGTCATTTTAAGGATCTGTAAAGTTTAAGTGGCCTATTGCCATATATGTACATAGATAGTTTTTCCACTTAATATCTGAAAATCTCAGTAGTACATGGCTACAGATTGGAGCGTATTTTCTTTTCAAGGATAACTTATTCTTCGGGAGAGTTTCGCGTAGGTTAAGGAGGCTAAGGCTAAGAAGAAATGGGGGACTGATTCTTCTCAGGAGTTTACAGTTGTGACAAGCCGACCCGACATCCGTTTATCCCCCTGTAGCACCCGATGGCTGACGGCCGAGGTTCGCGCAAATGTTAGACCATTTGATTATTGTGTTCTCTCTTCTCTTGACCATGCTTTATTAAATGCCAATCAAGTTAAGTTTCCATTATGCCATATCTGAATGCAACTCGTCAAAACATGCGTCACACATCCAATTGGCCCCTGGGCAAGCATCGCAGTAGGTTCTGATCCTTAAGAGTCCCTGTTTACCCTTCTTCAGGCAATTGACGCACTTGCCCTTCATCCGTGGCACTCCCACCAATACAAAGTTATGGTTGTTGGCCGATGTGCTCAAGATATTGGCCTTGTTTTTCAGGTCTATCAACTTTTGCATTTGCGGCTGCACTTGCGGCAACACTTTGGGGCTGTTCTCCTTTGGTGTCATCGTACGAATTGTTGGGAATGTTAGAACAACTGTGCCTTTCTGGACTACTTCAAGCCTACGGCGGGGCAGCGACTTCTTAGTGGGCAAACGCGATGCTGCAATGGAAAAATGTTAAAGAGTGAGTTAAAAAAATTGTAAAAACAAACAATTTAGCATAGAATACACGAATAAAATGAGAAGCTGTCTTCGAAGCTGTTTTTTACATTAATGTTTATTTAAATGAATTATCCTAAAGGCTTTGAGAAGTTAAAAGAACTATGTTCTTTAAGGAATAAGACAACTATTGAAAACTCTTGGCACAAACGTCTTAACATGGCTGGGCGGCTCATGGTTATGTGAACCATGCTGAAGCACTATAGCCTTTTGCTTGGTGGTCAATCGTGCGGGGCATTGCAGCTTCCTATACATTGAACACCGCCAAAAAGCCAGGAACTTTACTGAATTCTTGGCGTTGCAGCTGTAGGTGTACCCTTCGTGGACTAGCTGCCCTCGGTAGGTGTAGATGAGCACTGCAAAAAGAAGAAAGCAATACCATTAGTGAGTTGTATAGTGGGTCACACTTGCATACGGCTCGGACTGCAAGATATGGGCGGCTGTTCAGTCACATTCATTTGTATCTTTATTTTACTTAATTACTTAGTAACTATATTGCACTGCTGAGACCAGGTGGACTGCTGCTAGACTACCCAACTTAATCGTGAATGAGCATCAGAGAGGCGTGCATCAGCTCATGGTCCGTCAGCTCCAACGTTCCCGCATCGCCGACCAATTGCTGCTGCGCCATTAGCGCCTGTTGCTGCTGCTGGTGTATCGGGAGCTGCGTTATGCTCTGCGAGCGGGCTAGCTTCCGAGCCGAGGTGGCTACCGCAAGACGATTCCGTTGCACAATCTTGTCGATCTTCTCCGTGTGCGGCATGTGGTTGTGCAGGCCACCAGTTATGTTCTTCAGCTTGCCATTTTCAAGGACACAGCGAGAGCGACAGCGCTGATCGTGTTTCTTCTTTGAGTAGTTGTGGCAGCGCCAGTACTCCTTGTTGCTCTTTCGGCTGTGGCAGTTGTACATGAAGCCATTCAGGACCAGGCAGGGCGTCGACCAAGGACTCTCGATGAAGACCAGCTCCGCGCCATCTGTGAATGAAGACGGGAAGACTGCAGTTAGTGTCGGTAGCGAAGCAATGGGGGGATTAATAGTAAGGTGCGTGACTTAGGACAGAAGTGACCAGACTAGCCCTTCGTTGTGGATTCAATTTATTAGATGGTTAGATACGAACGCGAATACAAGTGATCTTAAACTATGTCGAGAATAATACCAGAGCTTAGGTGGTACGTTAGCTTCTAAAGTCCCTTAGTCTTGAGCAGCTGCCGGTGCTGCAGAGGCTTGACCACCTCTACTACTTCCTCAGTGATATGCTGCTGCTCCTCCTCTTCCTCCTCGTCCACTGCTTCGGCCACAGCCTCGGCCAGTGCCTGCATTTCGATTTGCGTCGCCTCGGAGGCAGGCAGAAATAGCTTGCACTCCTTGCCATCTTTGGCTGTCATGATGCTGATGTTGCTGCTGTTCAGGTATTGGGATATCTTTGGGTTCGATGTACATATCTCAATGTACTCTTCCAGCTCCTCCTCAACTTTGTACAGTTGCCGCTGCCCGATGCGCACCGCATGCGATTCGTGGTTGTGCAGGCGTCGTGCATCGACGAATTCGCCATTCTTTGTGATGACCACCGCCTTGCAGCGGAGCTTGAGTACGTCTGCACAGCGCCAGGTGGTCTGGCCATTGGCCTGAGTAAGTTTCTTGTTATAGATGTAGTCCCTGTACACTAGCTGGGCGTTCTTCTTCTGGCTGCGTATAAACTTGATAATTCCGTCTGCAATTTGAGCGTGCCATGGCAATAACAAGAAGATGACAAGAAGATAAAGAAAATAGTAAGTAGACGCAAGACAGAGTTAGCTAGACATAACTAGGATTACTAATAAAGAGACGGCTTAGGCGGTACGTTAGACACGGCGAAATAAAACAACTATTGTTTAGACTTTGGCTGAAAGCAATTTATTCGCAGATAAAGAACCGCATGACCCACGAAGAGCTCGCATACTTACGGAGGAGTGTATTTCCACATTTATCCACTTACAGTAGCATATTAATAACTATATTTACAAAGCACAAGTTCACCAAAGAAAATTATCAGAAACGCTACTGGCTGGTAGTTCGGAAAAAGCTGAGTATTTGCTTGATGTCAAGGAACTGGACCAGGTAAAAACCAACGAGAAACTACAAGCCATACGCAGGCCACCACTGTATTAAGCATGACTATTTATTAAAACACATCCGTTTTTATTGTTCATTACATTTATTGCACAGCGTCGCGTCTGCTTCTTCTTTTCCATTTTTTTTTTTTTTTTTTTACATTTAATTGTTATGTATTTCCATAGAGGTGGGAAATGCGTGAATTTGTATCGAATTATATACGATATATCGTGTTGATAGGCGGCGACGCTTGAAATTAACCCATTAAGGGTTTTGTTTTGTAAAAATCAGTAAAATGTTGTTAAAAACAGCATTTTGGTATTTAAATACTCATCCTATACCTCAGGTATTCGTGCAAGCACACTAATATTTGATATTTTTAAATTTAAAATACCTTTTTACACTAGTGCCGAGTTTTTTTTACAAAGGATATATGTACATAGGGGGACTGGTGCTGGCAAAAAGTTTAGTTGTGGTTGCAGCTGTTCGATTTTCCGAATATTTTAGACCTGTTCTGCCTTGGCTGACGAAAAAGGAGCAAATATAAATCCTAAAACCAAATTCTACACCGAAAAGCCTGCCAACTGTTCGGTACTCAGAGGACGAGCCCAAAGTGTATAGCGCAATGGCGATGCGCTTTTCCAAAGGAATTGCAGCTCGGCAGTTGGTGTCCTTCTTTCGCAGCACTTCAAGCCGATTCACTAAAATATCAAAGCAGTGCCTCTCCATTCGGAAACTCTCTTTGAAAAACGCCTCGTTGTTTTCTGGTACATCTTTCTCCCAAAATGTCCCGAACCGCTTCTAAAACCATAAAATATGTCCTTGTACTTTAAACTAAATAAATAAATAATAAACTTAATAAATCTTCCGCGCAAATTTAATGAACTTGTTATTGGCATCAGCTGTTTTTGATGGATGTTGGATGGTGGATGGTGGCAGTGTGAATCGGAGTTTCACATTTGTCAAAAAATCCCACCATTCCCCCGGGATGGGCTCAGTGTGCAGAGGCTATTAAGCATCAACCATATTAATAGTTTGAGTTAACTCAACAATCGATAGGTAACAGCGTAGATATCCTAATGTAATCTAAAAACATCGATGTTTTTCCAGCTCTAGCACTCATACACATACAGATATTCAAACAAACAGTCGTTTGATAAAAGATAAATATCTGTATATAGATCCAATCTATTCAAGATACAGATCGAACTCTGATGTCAACATAACGAACTTTTGCGTTGTCAACTAATGCTTAGATACGAAGGAAGACAGCTCTACAATAAGGTGTACCGTACGACGAGCAGGATGAGCACCCGCGCCTGGATCGTCTTGTGCTCCTTAATAGCCTGAAATTCGCCGGCTGTTTCAATGGCAAAAAAGTTGACGAATACGATTCTGTTCGACACCGCCGACTGCGGTTCCACCGCAACTACAAGAATAGTTTATTGGGCATCCTACGAGAACAACACTCTTAGGGATGATCTGTCTGTTATCAAAGTGGATCGCTACCCTTCCGTCTTTATTCAGACTATTTGCATGCCGTAGGAAACGTCCAATGAGTTTTATTGCAGCAAACATGGAAATGGGCAACAGTATACACAGTCGCCGCACATCAGCGAAACCCTGGTTTTGTATGCTTTCATACCCAAAAATCACCGAGCGTCATTCAAGGAACGAAACTGCAGCCTGGATCGGCTTTGATAGGCGTTCGTGTGGTGAAAGGTGTGCCAACACATTATTGCCTTATCTGTAATTTAGTGGGCGGATACGATCTGTCCTTATCAGCGCCATACCTGCTTATGTTTACAGCTCCATGCACGAATTTAATTTGGGGCAAGCACTACAACGCTTTTGCCCGTGCACAATAAAATTCCTGATAAACCACAACCCCTTCCCCCAATAAATTACCTGAAATTTTAAAGTAAAATATAGATATACAAGTAGTAATATTACCATGAAACTTTACAGCCAAACTCCGGTTGAGCTGTGGTCCAGTGGGCAGCATTCCAGGGGTTTGAGATCGTCTTGACGCCGTATTTAAATTCAACACTCTACTCACCTTTTCACTAATTTTTGAAACGAATCGCGGGATCTGGCGCGCTAGCGACTGCCGATCGGCCCATGTTCTTTTGCGGAGTTTAATAGAACACAGGCTTGCTTAAATACTGGCTTGTTAGGCAACGCTTAAATAACAATCGGTCACAGATTTAAACGTGCCTATCAAACCGCAAGAAGACATATCCCTTGCTTGCGAGCTGCCAACAGAGTAATTGTTGGGAAAAAATAAACAGCTCATCGGCTGACAAAGGTTGAAGTCTGATTAGTTGTCAGATAGAACTATTAGTTGCAATTCGCAGGCAAGTTCCACATCCACTTCCACTAATATTACTTAGATCTAATGGCGCTGGGCCGGTCACAGTAAAAATTCAACCAACCTTGAGCCTCAGTGTTGCCTGGATCCGCGCTGGTGTCGACAAACGATGAGTCGCTATATGTCTGCGTCTTGACCACGGCCTTCGATGTTGTCGCCGTAGCACTGTTGCCGCTAGTATTGGCTGGTGCTTGGGGGCCGGCATCTTCATTTTCCGTAAAGTAGCTGTCATCGTAGCGCATGTCACCGTATGTGTCGTCCTCTACATATGTCGCATCGCCATCACCTGCAGCATCGCCATGGTCCTCGGAATATTCAGGTTCAGCCTTTGTGGGCAATTCCATTGGGAGATCAATGTATTCAGCTTCTTCTTGCTGCTGTTGTTGTTGTTGGGCTTGCTGGCGGAGCTGCTGCGGGTGGAGCTTGCTTTCGGCAGCGGACACGGTCTGCACGGTGATTTGCTGGGGCACCAGTTGCGCTGTAGACGTGGTCGCCGTCTCTGCTCCAGAGTCCAGGGGGTCAATGATGTTGGCGGAGGCGGTGGTGGCTGTCGTCTTGGAGCGCTTCACGCCCCCAGTCAGACTACTGCGCTGGGCAGCACGCTTGTTTGTCGACACCAGCGTCGCGGTCGTTGTCGTTCCGGTCTGCATCTGCTGCGTCTGGATATGCTGCTGCTGTTGCTGTGCTTGTTGTTGTACAATGGCTTGCGGTGCGGATGTTTGGATGACAATTTGGGTCGTTCCCTTGTTGTCATCGCCCAGGCCGTCATCGACGGTCTCGATCTTGTAGCGGGCAGAGGCACGCGGCTGTTGGCGCTGAACGCGCTGGGCCGGTACGGGTTGGGGCGGTTGCTGTTGTACAATAGGTGCTGGTGCTGGTGGGGGGCTCGGCTCCTGCGGTGGTGGCGGAGCGGGATCATTCTGTAATTTTAGTGTTTTATTTGTTTATGAATATTTATGCTTCTGCGCTTTCAATTCGCTGCCAAAAAAAAAACAACAACAACCACCCAACGCTGAACGCTTGGCTGTTGCCAGGCACGGCAGAGCGAGACAACAGCAACGCACACAAGCAGCATACAGCTGCCATCTCTCTCACACGCGCACGCCTTGTGGCATTCTGTTCTGCGCGTTCGAGATATTTCTAGGTACAGTCAAGCCAACTCTTATACAGGCGTCGGCCCTGTGTATGTATTGCGCGCGAAAGGCACTGCGCTTGGTAGTTGTTGTTTTCTGGTACATGTACTCAATTTTGTATACTCACATCGGTCAGCCCCTTGATTTGCAGCGACTCTGCTGTGCTAATGAACGCTGGCAGGGCATCCTGTTTCACGTTCACCTCACCGCAGTACATAAACTGGATAAGGTCCTTCAAAGCCGAATGGCTAACGTTGTTCAAATACACTACAAAAGTGTAAAACGAACATTAATAATTTTCCCTCATGCGTCTGCTTGTGCTTGCTACTTACCGAAGGCATGGGTGTTTAGCGGCATATTGGTGAACATCTTGCGGAACAGGGGCGAGCACACCGACAAGACCAGGCGGTGGGCCTTAACAATTTGCCCCTCGGCCACCAATGAGACGTCCACGAGATCGCCACGGATTAGAGACTCGTGGAACCCCGCAGACAGATTCGTGTTGAAGTTGTTCCAACACAAACTGAATTGCTCGTCGTCCGCCATCTTGGACGTTGAAAAAATCAATACTTTTTTGTATATGCGTCCGCTGCAATGGAGAAAAAAAATGCATTAATGTTATTTCCACATTTCCTCGTTTCTCAGTCCAATTTCAGTTAATATTTTTGTTTACAACCGCCAGCGAATACCAAAAAAGAAGCAAAAATATGCAATACACCCGAAAAAACAGGGAAATTTTCAAGCGTGTGTGTATGTGTGCGAAAAAAATGGCATCGCATCGCTGGTAGCATTTTGTGGCTTCCAAGCCGTTTAATTCTAACAAACACTTTCTGCTAACTTGGCCACTTACCTGGGTCAATATTTTTTAATAAAATAAAACTACAAGTTAATATTTTTCCGAGCAAAACTCGACGTCGATTTCACGTTGTTTACCCGGGCGCAAAAATTTTCTGTGTGGCCGCGGACTTATCGTTAACCGTTATCGTTATCGACCCTCAGAAATATACCAAAATATACGGTCTCATTTTCAAAATATACCGTAAATATACTGACAAATTCAAGTTGTACTAAAATATTCCTCGTTTTTTATCTTCCGTGGACTATTACTATATATATAGTACATTTAGCCATGCCCATTTAATTTTTTACGATTGATGAATCAATTCTATACATGATTGACCTACTCGAAATACTTGCATTTATTGGATTTCTATATGATTGATGAAATTGACAGGGAGCGCGCTTGAAAAAAAGTGTGACCGCGGATTTATCGATAAGATATACCTCAAAAATATACCAAGATATACGGTCTCATTTTAAAAATATACCGTGAATATACTGACGAATTGAAGTTCTTTTTTCATATTCCTCGATTTTGATATTCCGTCGAATATTACTAGCTATATAGAACATTTAGCCATGCCCACTCAATTTTGTACGATTGATGTATCAATTCTATACATGATAGGCCTATTCGAAATACTTGCATTTATTGGATTTCTATATAACATTGAAAATTAAGATAAGATATACCTCAAAAATATACGAAAATATACGGTCTCATTTTAAAAATATACCGTGAATATACTGACGAATTGAAGTTCTTTTTACATATTCCTCGATTTTGATATTCCGTCGAATATTACTAGCTATATAGAACATTTAGCCATGCCCACTCAATTTTGTACGATTGATGTATCAATTCTATACATGATTGGCCTATTCGAAATACTTGCATTTATTGGATTTCTATATAACATTGAAAATTAAGATAAGATATACCTCAAAAATATACGAAAATATACGGTCTCATTTTAAAAATATACCGTGAATATACTGACGAATTGAAGTTCTTTTTACATATTCCTCGATTTTGATATTCCGTCGAATATTACTAGCTATATAGAACATTTAGCCATGCCCACTCAATTTTGTACGATTGATGTATCAATTCTATACATGATAGGCCTATTCGAAATACTTGCATTTATTGGATTTCTATATAACATTGAAAATTAAATTAATAGATGACAAAAATACCATTTAGCACTAAAAAACACCACATGGGAGCGCGGCGAAAACCAGTATTTCTACAGTATGACCCTCAGAACAGCACCGAAATATACAAAATATACCGATTGGTGCGCGCCAAATCTAACTTTTTTGAATGTGAGCGACAAGGATTTAAATGTTGTCAACCGGCCCATTACCGATGCAACAAATACGACGAATCCCTCAATTTTGATCTTCCTTCGAATATCAGCTATATGGAACATTTAGCCATGCCATCATAATTTTATACGATTGATGAATCAATTTTCTATTTAACTGGTGTATTCTTAATACTTGCTTTTATTAAATTTTGCGGTAAAAGAGGTTTTAGCGAAAAAGGTCAAACAAATGAAACGTAATAAAACGTAAGAGAAAAATCGTTCCAATTGTTCAATTTCTTTATTCCGTTGAATAATGCTGGCTAACTAAAACCTTTAGTTCTGCCCACATAATTTTAGGCCATTACTGAATAAATGTTCTACCTGATTGACTACTTTTAAGTACTCTTTTTTATTGTATAGTGTAGAAAACAAGGTTTAAACAAAAAAGGTCAACAAAAAACAGTGGTAACGTAAGTGTGTATGGAATGTAACGTCAACCGGAGTTTGAGCATAGGTATACCCTATTTGGTTAATATAATATGAAGAAACTGTTTTAAAACGTAATTAGTTAAGAAATTATCTCAGATTGTTATGTTTTAGACATATTCATGTATATGATTAGGGTCTTGTAAATATATCTCGATCCCGATACCCATTCTTGATTTCTGTGAGTAGACCACTACATTAAAAATATCTTTGAAATACCTTTAAAACAGCAACTGACTAGTTTTGGCCTTTATTGGTGCATTAGATGACAAACATTCTCTCAGTTCTATAGTATCCATTTCCCATATTTATTGTTTGCTATTAGACATATTCATGTATATTATTAGAATCTTGTATATATTTATCTATACTCTGATACCTACGGAGGCCTGGGATGACAAACATTTTCTCAATTCTATAATATCCTTTTCCTTAGGGTATCAGAATGTCGCCCATCGTCCATCGCGGTAAAATTCACAGTAAAATTATCGATACGTAAATTGCTGTCAAATTCAAATAAATTCAAGCATTTCATGTATAATGCGAATTAAATATTTAAATTAAATTCTGCCTCAATAGGGGCTATTATTAATTTCACTTTATTCTATAACAAATAACAAATTGGTTGGACTTTTAAGCATTTTATTTTAAATTTTGTATAACTAATTATAACTCAATTTTTGAGATGGACAATATATCTATTTCCCTACTCTAGTTACCTTTTTAAGTTCGTTGCTGTTTAAATAAAAACAAATAATATGTGTATCCACAACCTTGAAATGAATATCAAGCCATCCCTGTAAACATACAATCATAAATATGTTCTGTTCTGTGTGCTTAGTACACTCATCAAATCAAGTGTGCGAAAATCTGCACTTGAGCGCCACTTGACACACACAACCAGTTGCGACACACAGTTTATACAACACGTACATACGTGGGGGGTGGGGACTATAAAACTTAAGGACTTTACAATAATAAATACGGATACTTAAGCTCAAGTAGCGAAACGGAATCTGCATAAAGTGGCTGCGAACAAACAACTAAACTAAAACAACAACATCGAAGGGAAGATGATTATTTTCGTGACGTTGCAAGTGGCTGTGAAGGAGACAGCAATCAAAGCTGATGGAAAGGTACATAGGACAAAGGGAGAAGGAAAGTCCTGAGGAGTTATCTAATATTGATAAATAATAATACATTTATCATAGCTAACCATAAATTGTGCATACAAAAGTAGGAAAATGTATTATTACTCTTAGTGATATGCGCTAATTCCTATCCGCACACATTTTTTTCTTACCCCAGACGACTCATGCACAGAAGAAGGAACGAGATAGAGTACATGTGCTCTGCTGTGATTGGCTCGCGTGGCAGCCATTTTTCCGCCCGAGACCACTACACACGCCTTGCTTATGGCCCGGGGTGGGTGTGCAACGAGTATGTGTGTGTATGCGGCGCCAGTTCGTTCTGTTCTCTTTCAGCCAAATGAGAAAGAACCGAGCTGAGGCTGACAAATTGCAGACACAGTCGAGTGCGCATCGGAACGGCACTTCGGGGCACGGTTACGGGCAACGAGAACGACATTCAGTTCCAATACGGCTGCAAGGGGTGCGGATGCGTGCCGCCACATACTCATCCTCATCGCTATTCGGCTATTCGAGTCCTACCCACACTATCGCGCGCTCATAGTCGCAGTGGCAGTCGCATTCAAGTGTCGCAAGTTCAAGTGCAATTTGGCAAATTGTTGTATTTATTTAAATTGAAAGTGCCTCCTCTCAAGTGCTCAAGTGATCCAACAAAACTCGTAAAATGTTGCAACATCATCAGCAGCAAGCACAGGTGCCACAATCCGGCGGCTATTACGACTACAATCAGTCGCCTAGTCCTGGCAGTCTGACCAATGCGGATGCCCTGAACACCACCCCATTTTCAGTCAAGGATATATTGAATATGGTCAATCAAACGGAGGCATACGAAGGCGCCTATGGGCATCTTGACAGGTGAGCTTGTTCTTCAAATATATATCCTGGAAAGAATCTTTTCTTCGACAGTTTATTAGGATTAGGAAATGTTAAAGATATTCATATAATTATAACCGAAATCTAGGATTTCTTTATACTGAAAGAATCTTATAATTATTTATAGCCACCTTTGGTTATCTTGTTTTAAAAGTAATCAGACATGAAATACCTATTTTTTACCCGAATCTGTTACGCATTTTGTAGACGGCAAGGAAATTGTTAAAGAATTTCCGTACTTTTTTTTCTTCAAGATTTCCTTATTATCAGTCAAACATCTACCTGTCAGCAACTATTTTTAAAGACAACCAGTTCCCATTTCCCATTCCCATTGATTTTTGCATTTATTTATTTTTATTTAGTAAGGCTCCATAGGAAAATTAATTTCCAGCAATTTTCCTTTGAAAGATAATGTTTTGATAACCTTCTGTCGAGACCGAGCCTCGGCAGAAGAAATCCTATGAAAACACATCGAAAGCATGAATTGCAAATAGGATCTAGGGTCCGTCCTTCACGTATTCGTAGCGCAGAAGAGCAGGAGTTTGTCTTTGACAAATCATCGTTATTTGTACAAGAGGCAAGAGGCAAGACCTCTCTCTCTCTCTCTCTCTCTCTGTCGAATACCAAGACGTACGTACCCACACACACACACACACTCGCAAAGTTGTAACAATAGGAAAAACAAGGTCCGGCCCGAGGTCTGAGGCCTGAGGTCCTGTCCGACTGCCTGAAGCCGCTCGGAGTGTGGTCGTCGTCGTCGTCCTCGGGGCTGGGGCTGGCCAACATATGTGATTCGCATGTGTGTCCGGTGCCGACCGCGCTGGGGCGTCCTTAATTCTGATGAGGCATGAAATGATGTCACCAAGGGTCCTGTCGCGACAGCAGGAAGTACGCAAATGGCCCGGGCGCTTGCTTTCCCTGCACCAAGCTCTTGCTGTGTCCGGTGTGATGCAACATGTGGCATGCATAGCCAGATCCGAAACTAACCAGCCTCCCATCTCTTTCGCTCTCTCTTTGCTTTGACCAACAGTGCCGCGGCAGCTTCGGCGTTCTATGGCGCCGGCGAGTACCAGCAGCATCTTCACCAGCATCCGCATCAGTACCAGCAACAGCAACAGGATTTGCCAGCGGCGTCGCAGCAGCAACTGCACCATCATCTGGTCGAGCATCAGGAGGATGCCACCACATCGTCGTCGCTGTCGCCACTATTGCCGCCCCCGCCGCACGGCCACCATCAGTTGTACGGCAGCTATCAGGACTATGGCATGCCCGCCCACATGTTCCAGCATCACCATGGACATCCGCACCAGAGTTTCCAGCCAGCCGCCTCGGCCTACAACATGTCCGCCACGCAGTTCTACGCCGGGGCCACGGCCCCGTCCTATCAAAGTCCCGCCACATACAACTACAACTATGCCGGAGCCGGGGATGCCTATCCGCAGCACTCCCCGGCCGTCACCATCAAGAGCGAGTACATACCCACGCCGTATGTCACGCCCTCCCCCACCCTGGACCTCAACAGCTCCGCCGAGGTGGAGAGCCTTGCGCCGGCGCAGAAACTATGCGGCAATCCGCTCTCGCAGAGACTCCTGGAGACGGTCAGCAATTCGGCCTCACTGCGGAGCATTCACAGCACGGACGAGGGCGCTAAAAGAAGTAAGTAGTCCCAGACAAGTAGTCCAGCTTTAGATCGCGGATCTAACTTTTGTTTACCTCCACAGAGGACAACAGCCAGGTGACCTCTTCGCGTTCCGAGCTGCGCAAGAGCAGTGCCAGTGGCAGCAATCACAGCAGCAGCATCAACAGCAATGGATCCAGCAAGCCCCGAATGAAACGCAAGCCTCGGGTGCTCTTCTCTCAGGCCCAGGTCTTGGAGTTGGAGTGTCGTTTTCGGCTGAAGAAGTATCTGACGGGATCAGAGCGTGAGATAATCGCCCAGAAGCTAAATCTGTCGGCCACGCAGGTGAAGATCTGGTTCCAGAATCGTCGCTACAAGTCGAAGCGGGGCGACATCGATTGTGAGGGCATTGCCAAGCATCTCAAGCTCAAGGCGGAACCACTGCACTCTCCCACATCGCTTCCCCCTCCCATGCCCAATCATATGATGTGGCCACCCACAGTCCAGCACTCCCAGCAGCAACATCACCAACAGCAGCAGCTGCCACACCTCCAATAGCTGAGGGGCAGGAAGATGGGATGGTGGTCTTAATTTATTGCAATTTAACTCAGAATCTATGTTGTAGCCTAAAGAAAATGCCTCATAGCTCTAGTACCTTGTTTTATGTATATATCGGACAATAAATAAAGTTTAAGACAAACTACTAATTGTTGATATTTTGGATATTTCGAAAGACACTCGAGAAGGAAGAACGAATACTCCTGGAACTCTCTCTCCTCGAATAGAATTTCTTATGCCATGACATTAGCTTTTCCAACTCGCTTTCCTTTTCCATCCATCACTTTCTTGTACGTTTCCTCAACTGTCACATGAGATGGAACATGGAGTCTGGGCTTCAGAAGTACTCCCCATTCGTTCTGCGAGTACTCGTATTTATATCTTTATGAACAGCTTTCGATCGGCGGCCACCAATCCATCGATCCGTCGATCCATTAGGCACCGCATCTGCGTATAATTGTTGCCGATCGCCGCATAAATCAATTTTTATCGATACGTACGATCAGTTTTGTTTTATGAAAAATGAAAAGGAAAAGCAAAACAAAACAATTTCCGTTTTAATTCTGGAAATGTTTTCCCTTTTCTACTTTTGGCATGGCCAAAGGGGTGCCCGGGCAGAGGGAGCGGAGCGGGTGCGTCGGCGGCAGACACTACAAAGGTTGCATTTATGAAACGTTTAAGTGGCAGCAATGCAACTGTAAAATGTTTTCCTATATCCAAAGATACAGATACTCGTCTCGTACAGAAGAACTCCTCAGCATTTTATGACAGCCAGCAGGGCAAAGGCTAATATTTCATGGAGTGTGTGGTGTTGGGGCCACAGCCGCAGCCGCAGGCACTGCCGCTGCCCCTGCCGCAGTGCTCTGTTGGTGCGGTGGTGTTTCCCCTGTGTTGTGGCATATCAATTACCCCGCAAACACATGCCACAGGGCAGCGAGATTGAGGATTGAGGATGCCTGAGGGGTGAATGGGAGGCCACAGGCCAGACCAACAAGTGCAGCTGATCACACTTTTCGGGGAGTGGAGTGGAGTCGACGGGGGTTTGAGTTTCAGCCTTTCTGACAGCCAGAGCTTCTGGGGTTAGCTCTGCTGCTCGGTTGTGGGGTGAACTCTGAGTTTGGGTGTCAATCACAGTGATCACGCATTAGTTATACTCGACAGTAGTCGGATGAGGGTTAAATTAGGCCCCTTGGGACAGAAGACGCCAGACAGGACAGGGAGTTGCTCGTGGAGTGGCAAACAAAACGCCTCCAAGGCCAGCCTTGCCCCATATAGCATTATCCCAGGATAATGCATGTCAAGTGCCGCTAAACATTGCCTAATGGACCACACTGACCAGGCCCTGGGGCGAAGGAAATCGGAATCTGCGACCCCGAAACAATTAAGGTTTCGTCTTACAATGTCGGCGGCAATGTTGCGGCGACTCGTCGTGTGCTCCTTCATAGAGTCGAGTCGACGGTCTATAGTCTGGAGTCTAGACCTACGCAACCGCCGGGGGAACTCAAGTGGAGAATTTGTCATTCCCATATATCACACGAAGGATCGGGTCGTTCGCCGATAAGCAGGCCAGGATAAACCCCGATGTCGGAGTATGCTGCGCTGCTCGCATTGTAGCGCCGTTTAATTCATGCCCCGTCAAAGGATCAAAGCCGATGCAAGCCGACTCTCGGAGTCGCAGTCGCAGTCGCAGCTGTGCCTCCTCTTTCTCCAACCCCAATCGATGGCTCTCTCCATTGCTTTCACTGTCATCATTTGCATTTCCTCCTGGCTATGTGCCAAGCCGCCAAAGTGAGAGTAAGGTAAGCAAATTAAGATTTATTAACAACAATAAATAAACAATATGAAAGAGCAACAATAGCATCAACAATTGGCGTATTCTGGGGCCCCAAACGATTTCCCATTTCCGCACCCTTTGAATGTTGCCGCCCCTGCGACGATTGCGTAATTTTCTTCAATATGCTTTCCTTTTACTCCCAGATCCACAGCCAGCGATGTCAAGTGGATGTCGGAATGGCTGCGGTTGTGTCTCTGGCTGTGGCTGTGACTGTGCCTGTGGCAGTTTCTCCATTAAAGCCTTTGACATTTTATCAGAAAATCCATCGAGTCATTGTTATACATTTCCATTTGATGTGCCCCATAAAAATTGCGATCTCGTTTTACATTTCCCCCGCCGTCACTCGTCTGGGCTTGGGGCTCTGTTTGTATTTCTGTTTTATATCCATCAGTTTATGGCTTTGTGCGGCTTTCAAGTGGAAAAATTGTGACAATTATATTCAAATTAATTGAGTAATTGCATTTGGAATCCGAGCAGCAGCATTTTCGAGCGTTTGATTTATGGCGTGTGGAAAACGGCACTCAAGGAACCGAATCCAATCCGCGTAAGCTAATAATCCCATGGCGTTGATATCTCCTTTCGGTTCGGCTGAAAAAACATACGCATGTGGCTAATGAAATTCGAGTTCCGTTCGCCCTCATCCGCACATCCTGATCTACTTAGGGCAACTGTAAACAATCTCAAGCATCGGTTGCTTGATTAGATTCCTCACTTTCGATTTGGGTGGCTTCGTGAACTATTTTCAGGTTAACAAATTAATCGGAAATTTATGGGTATAAGCTAAAAGAGGTAGTAACGTTGAGTTCTAATGATTTGATACGCCAATGAGATTTATGAGTACATATACGGACTCTAACTTGTGGGAGGGACAAATGAGATATGAGCAGTAAGTCCAGGACTTCTCGGGGTCTTTATTAACAGTGTTGGAACTTGTCGTGCTCAGCTGAAAAGTGTTCATAATATAACACAGTAAATATTGATGACAGTTACACGATAACTATAACACTTACGCCCCTCGCTAATTATTTCCATAGATGGCATCTAATCGGGAACGAACATGTAATGCACCGATTCTCGTAGATCGGTATCGTGGGGCAGAAAAACAACTTTGCTATTCCCATAACGCCACAAAGTTCTGGCTATAAAAGCGACCTCCATCGAACCTGTAAACCATTCGGAAATTAAAGTTAAGATGTGTCGTAAACTACTATGTCGGATCCTGATCCTGCTGATAGTTTTACACTATTCGATGGGAGTTGTTTATGAACTTTTGCTTGAGGATGAGAAAGTATTCACCGAGTGTACGGGTAAGCCTAAGGGCTATCTCAATATGTCTGGATTTTGGGATTTTACCGACTTGGGCTTAGAAATGGTTGAGGAGGGAGTAATCGTGTCTGGAAACATGACGTCTACGTGGAAGGTCGACCCAACAGATCGCATTGAGGTAATAGATAATACAGATTCTAAGCGAGAAAAAGTCGTACTTAATCTTACTTTAGGGTGCTGCCAGCTTATTTTACTTCGATCGTGGCTCTTGGCAGCAAACCGTTATCAATATGTTGGTAAGGGACTTCTGCAAGAGCATGTATGAAGAGAACCAATTTTGGCAAATGTACTGGACTGCGCACGCAACCAACATGGAAGATGTGAAAGACCAATGTGTCAACTTCGGCGTAAGGACAGTTTCCTATGGCTATTTATGCAAAATTATATGCTTCTATTTTCCATTTCCGTTTCAGACTACGCTGACTCTGGAAACTTATCTCCTAGATATGAAATTCCCCTTAGATGTACCAATACGCACTGGGCGGTACAAGATTGTGGTTCAAATGCATGCAATAGATCGAGCTGGTGTAAGGCGCAAAAATAGTATTTGCTTTCAAATTAGGGGCGAACTAATGAAAGCTACTTAAAATATTGACATATTCTTTCATCATATTATTGATTTTCAAGGTGCACTATCAGGCTATAAAAAAAATATAATTTCTAATAATCAGGTCAGGTCGCTCTTTGAAATAGATACAATTTCGTTACATCATGTAATATTTGTTGATGTACCAAATGAATATACATTTTCTTGAAATCAATATATATTTATTTGGGTATTTACCTGTAGTAGGTTACTTCGGATTTAATTATTCAAAAATATATATGCATTTGTTTGTTTTTTCTCTGTGTATGTGTCATACGGATACGACTGTTGTATTGCATTGCAGTACGTTGGGTTTGATATTGCAAGGCATTGGTTCTGTGGTGCCATGATATTAAAGAATTACATATATAGAAGTTGTCCTCTTTGCGTCCTCATCCAGGGAATGTACTACTTCGGCTCTACTTCCGTCGGTATTTCTAGCAGACAGTGGTCACAGTTCGCTTGAGCTCCGTCATGTACGCCTATTATACTTTTCCGGATGAATTCGTACTGGAAGTAGATAGAGAGTTACTGCTTGAACTCGGCTTTTCTGAAATATACAGAATAATCAGGCTATATTACTCCATTTTCTAAAGGATTGGCCAGTTTTTAAGAGTAATTTTATTAGAAAAGGTTATAGAACAAACGAACAAAATTCTGAACTTGATTTCATATAAGTTTTACGCCAGCTAAATCAGCGTCATCTGTTGGTACTACATGCATTTTACATAATATTTAGCTCTACCGCCACCTAGTGCTCGCTTGTCTTTTTTGTGAAGTATATACGAGGAAATGGCGGCGCCACTATTACTCTTATAATTATTATTTTTACATACTACATTTATATAAGAGCTCTGGCGCGGTATTGAGAATATGTACATATATTTGAATATTTATTTTGTTGCTTAAAATTTCTTGGAGTAACTCTATATTATTGGAGTAAATAAATGAGATATATATAAGAAAAAAAGCAAACGACATTTTATTGTGAATAACTAGGGCAATCGCAAGAAACTTTTAAATGCTGCTATTAATACATAAAATCGCTCCCTTTCCTCGATATTCGGAGCACGTCAAACCCTATGTGGTAACCATACTTCGCCCACAGTCTATTTATTGACAATATAACTTTAGTAAACAGCTTTAAAACAATCAGCCAATGAGGAACTACAAACCCATGAAATCATTGATTGAATACTTAGGAAGCACTTGTCCAAACTCAGCATCGAAATACCTCAGCCGGATCGGGTTTCACTGCAATGAATGATAATGAAAAGCAGGGCAGAACAAACATTTGAAGTGGTTTTTGATAAACCATTAAATAGAATTTAATACCACAAGAACAACAAACCAGTGGCCGAGGCGCGGACTTGAAGGGATGGTGGCAGACATTTCGAAATCAAACAAGAAACTGTCGGATTTAATTGAAAACGCCAATTCATCATGGACAGAGGCAGGAGTATAAATGTCCCCGATACTCTCTCCCCCATTTATGTAATTGAATACCTGCGACATTCATGGGTAATCGCATCAACAATAAAAGCAACAAGGCAACCAACAGAATTACATAGTACCGAATATATGCACATTCAAACAGATCTGAGAGCCCGGGCCGGAAAAGGACGCGTGCGCCGGCCACAAGCATCATTATATACTAATTACTCGAGTATTATTGAAACCCATTCAGTTGAAAATGTATAACGAGTGCCAGTTCCTACTACCGCACTTGGTGCACACTCGAATTGGTTACGGCTACGGTTACTTTACTCAAATCTGACCGCAAAATAGCCAAGCTCTCCCTTTCCCCCTCAAGCCGCCTCTATTGTTGGCTTGACTTCTGCGCCCGTGGCATTAAGAGCCATTGAATTGGCAATAAAAAGATTATAGCCCGAAGGTGTGAAGTGTAGCAGAGAAGCAGAGAACAACCGTACGGCCAGAGTAGAGTCGATAATCGGAAACGGAGAACGGACTGCCTGCACAAAACACCCCCATGGCGAACATGTGTTTGGGTCCATTGTTTCCCGTCCTCGTTCCCAGCATCGCATCGCATCTCTCTCGTTCCGAGTGAGAGTGGATGAGTGAGTGTGGTCGGATGAGTGCGCAGCCATATTGCGGCAGACATCCAATCAGCGCCGAAGAGCTCTTCCACATTCGAAGCAGCCAATGGAAATCGAGATTCCTATGAATTAATACAATAACACTTGTGGGTCACGAAGTCAAGTTGGAGGGACGCCTAACATCTTAAGATTTACCATTGAAAAAAGGTAATATTGTATTTCTAAAATACTGTATTTTTAGTAAGGGTCCTTTTAAATCCTTTTTCTAGGACAAAAATAACAAGGACGGAAAGAATTTTAAAAATCCCAACTACATATAAAAGTCTCATCGAAATATGTGAAGTATGAAAAATTTAGCTTGGGGACCAACTTCCTGGGAAGTATGCTTCATTTCTTATGCCAGCAGCAATCCCTACTGGGATTTGAAACTCAGATAAACTCGAAGACCTCTTGCAGTTTCCTCCTTCACACGAATATGATTTTCTATTTTAAAATCCATTTAAATTTCGGTGGGTCTTTGTTTAAATTTCCAAGTAAATCCATTACCTAACTAACCTACTTATGCTCCCGGGTATGCCTTTATGGTAACCCCAGAATTTTCGAAATTATTCCCAATCCAAACAAATGCGTAGCCCAAACAAATCAAGCCAAATGTTGAGTTCACTTGACATCACTTCTGGGGGTACGGGTACTGTACCCAAAAACCAAATGCAATGGGAGAATAGTTAGCAATGCTATAAACAGTACGCAACACTCGCATACGTAAACAGGATGCATGCACTCCTGAAACTAAGGCGCACTACCAAGTAACGTGACCATTTTACGACAAAAATCTTTTTGTTTATGCTCTTGAGAGGAACTCAAATGCCCTTGCCTGCCGCCAGCGCATCCACCAATGGGCGGCGTCGAGCGCGGACGGGAGCCAAATCCACCACCAGAGTGCCAGCTGAAGGCGAGCCCACTTGAGGCGTGAGGCGTATTTCCACTCCGTGAATCCGAGTGATTCTCTCGCTAGGGATCGTCGGGGCTGCTATTTAAAGAATGCACGGAGCGGCCAACTCGAGCACATTCGCAGCGCAGCCTTCGAGACGTGAACACCCGAACAGCCCCGAACCGAATCGGTCCGTACCAAACAGAGATCCGGAGTGAACAAGTGCACAAGTGCCACAAGAATATGTTGAATATGGAAAGTGCAAGTGTGGGGGCCTCCATGGCGGGTCTGAGCAAAACTCTGACAACGCCCTTCTCCATCAACGACATACTGACGCGCCACAATCCGGATAAGCATCGCGTGTCCAGCTTGGACTCCGAACCGGAGGCGGACATCAGCGGCAAGAGCCGGAGCTCCAAGCAAAACCTTGATCGCGAACGATCTGCGTCCAAGTCGCCGCCGCTTTGCTGCCGGGATCTGAGCATTTACAAGCAGGACCCCACCATGCCCAATCCCGGCCAGAGACAGACAAACTACTTGCAGTACTATGCGGCGGCTGCGGCGCTCGACAACAACAATCACCACAACAGCCATCACCATCACCAGGCAACAGCCTCGGGCTCCAGCGGGGGGGACTACATGCAACGGAAATTGGCCTACTTTGGCAGCACTCTGTCCGCCCCGCTCGACATGCGGCGCTGCACCAGCAACGACTCCGGTAAGTCTGCCCCATTGTTCGCTCTAATGGAAATTCCAATTGTCCATTGTGGCAGCCGTGTGCGCCTGGTGCTAATTTCCCTGCCATTTTCTGCCTGCTCCATTCACAGACTGCGACTCGCCGCCGCCACTGAGCAGCTCACCCTCCGCCTCGCCGCTCTCCCACGACGGCAGTGCTCTCAGCCGCAAGAAGCGGTCGCGTGCAGCCTTCAGCCATGCCCAGGTCTTCGAGCTGGAGCGTCGCTTCGCCCAGCAGCGCTATCTCTCCGGGCCGGAGCGCAGCGAAATGGCCAAGACCCTGCGCCTCACCGAGACTCAGGTGAAGATCTGGTTCCAGAACCGACGCTACAAGACCAAGCGCAAGCAGATCCAGCAGCACGAGGCCGCCATGCTGGGTGCCACAAAGCGCGTGCCAGTCCAGGTGCTGGTCCGGGAAGATGGCAGCACCACCTACGCTCATATGACACCGGGTGCGGGGCACGGCCTGGATCCGGCGCTGATCAACATCTATCGCCATCAACTGCAGCTGGCCTACGGAGGATTGCCACTGCCCCAGATGCAGATGCCCTTTCCCTACTTCTACCCCCACCCGAAGGTGCCACAGCCGATTCCGCCGCCAAGCCAGCCCTCAAGTTTCGTCAACGGCTCCTCGGCCTCGTCGTCGCCAGTGCGTCCTCAACGCACCCCCTGCCCGAGTCCTGGCCAAGTGATGGGGGGCATGGAGAGTGGACCGGAGTCCGCGCCGGAGGATGTGGATGAGAACGTGGAGATCGACTAGAACGGATCGAACCGCAATGTGGGTTACGTTATTGTGATAGCTGTAGAAGTTGTGTTTTAGTCTCTATGTGTAACCAATACGATAGATAGCTTTAGTAGTCCTAAGTTTTAGCTGTATCTGAAAGTTAAATAAAACCATAAATGAAAAGAAATATGATTATGATTGGATTGTTTTTATAAGAGTTGTAACTCAGGTGGAATCTTCATCAATTCAGAGTTTCCGAAATGTTCGAAGCTTAATCTTGAAATCCTTGTTCTTTCTATGCTGTACAACGATGCCAATAAGGGTCCGCAGTATTTGTTAATTTAAGGAATCACTTGTTTGGAATCTAAGGTGAAAGATAACTCCCATTCCCATGACCTGATTTTGTATCAATCGGCGGGGGGGCTGCTTACTCGTACACTGGGACTCTTCAGAAATGACAGCGATCAAGCGGATAGAGTGAAGTGGCCATGCGTGTGGCCAAAGCCTTGCAAAAACGTTGATGATGACCGAGTACGGCGAGCACTCAATGTCGACATAGAAGTGCTTCAATGTGTCAGAAAGGACGGGACGGAACGGAACGGAGCGGGCGCCGAGGCTGTGACCCACAAACCACTGACTTACATTCGAGTACTCGTAGAATTCCTTGATTTCACACACTTTGGCATGCAGTTTTGCGAAAGATCATCGGTTGTTCCGTTCCGAGGAGGATGAGGCTGGGTTATGGGAAGGGGAACATAGACATGTCCTTAGCAGCACAGTTGGTGGCTGACGACAACAAGGACACGCCTCAAGTGCTTGTCGGCGACCGACGAGGCGATGTTTATAAACAAACAAACAAATAGAATTACAAGCTGACGCCCAAGCGATCCTTGCACTAGGCCGGAGCCAGGACGAAGGCATTTCTAGGATCATTGATATATGCCCATCCACTTCAGAGGCAGCAGGAGCCGTTGTCTGTGTCATAGTCGTGCCTGGCAACAATTCTGCTCATCTTACAGCTTGCCAGCAATTTCCCCGATCTCCAGCACCCATTAAGCACCCTTTCCCCCATCACAGCCCTTCTGTGCCGATGGCTTTCTGCGAGTATGTGTGCGAGTGGGGCATTGAACGTGCCAACTGGCGGCTTGCGACTGGAGACTGCCAACTGAAAAAACAAAGGTTGGGGGAAAGGGTGATCAACCATTCTCGGACGCATTCTTTGTCTGAAAGGCCAGCCATTTGACAAATTTGGGACACTAAAACCGATTGACAGTTGTAATTACTTGTGTCAATAAGTATTCTGGCAATGGATGTAGTAAAAACAAATGAATGTATCTTTTAGGTATTCCACTCGGTCCAAATTATCTTGTCATAAGTCAGAAGATGGGCAAAAGTAAAGTAGGAAAGCGCAATACAGACTTTAAGACTTCTATTTCTCGACTTGAGCGATACAAATAGCAGGATCAAGCTTCTGATAACACAGGAAATTATTTCTGACAATTATGGTCGGAACTAGCGGCTTAAAAAGGGTGCATAACTAATTTATTTGGGAATATCCTAAACCTTTACCCAAGCTTTATACAATATATATTCCATTTCTCCATAGTAGGCCATACCTTTTGCTACCATCGAATGCTTCCTATTGAAGAACCGCTTCCAGTACATTTTTCTTATACCCACCAGAACATATCCCCTTTTTCGCCCCCATCTATGTATCTGCTTCGGTCTCGCCAGTAACGAGTGGCAACAATCAGTAGGAGCGCTATGTGGGAGTTTCGGTTTTATGGCACGCTTCAGATTTCGTACTACGAGTATCTGAAGGGTTGAGGGCGCACACTGCATGTGGTCGGGAGCGTATTTTTTTGTTCGTCCTGCTCCCAGCGGCTTGGCCACTAATTTGTTTATATTGCCCCGGATTGCGCCTCCGGATTTGTTTATGCAACCTTTTTTATGACACACATGCCTGGCTGCTGCGAGTACGGACTGTCAGCTACTTGACGGCAATCCTTTTAAAAGGGGCCGCCCTGGCAGCCAATGGCAGTCTGTGTTGTCGCTTGTTTGCCTTGTAATTAATATGGAAATTAGTCACGGCGGCAGGTCCACGGCAGAGGCAGGGGCAGGGGCAGGGGCCGGGGCAAGTGGCGTATGCGCAATCTTTGAACTGCAATTAGTCGGTCGCCTATGGCCTGTCACCGGACCTACTGCGGAGCTGCCCCTGATCCTAACAGACTGGGACACTGGGTAAACAATTTTAGCATTATTCGCTATTTGTTTAAACATTTTTGGGGGCCTGCATTCTTAAGCAGCCATTGGGCCGCTGAGAGCGCATTTAATGGCGAAATGTGAAATTCAAAAGCAAATGCAAAAACCATTCCCACCGACCCCGACAGCTTAAAGTGTAAACAAAATGTTCCAAATGTTCACTTATTATAAAATGCAGTGCATTCTTTTTTTTTGGGTCCATTTCCATGCACTTTGCTGCAGCGTCTCCCGTCCTCTCATACCCATACCCATTCTCATTCGCCTCCATCTCCATCGATACTGTGATCGCGGTCGACATCGACATCGACATCGTCGGCTGCGTCTGCTGCACACATGTGCGCCATAAAAGGAAGCTGAGGATCGGGCCCGATGAGGTTCGCTTCGACTGCGACTGCGACTGCGACTGACACTTCGATTTGCAGGCAGCCCAAGGCTTGTTGTTGTTGCACGTGTTGCTTTGGTGGCGCGTTTGTTTATGCAACAGTCCTAGCCCTAACAGTTCTTGGTAGGAATAACTTCACAACAAATTCATCAACTAAACTCTAAAGTTGATACTCTGCCAGCTGGAGGGGTATTTAAGCTGTGAAAGACAGCCCGAAAAAAGGAAGAGAGTCAATATATACCCTCTTCCTAAAGGGTTCGAAATTCGTATAATTGAATGAGTGTCTGATCCAAGCTAATAAATTCTCAGATCCCATCGGTATCAAAAGCTGTAGGAAGTAGAAGTTGAAACTAATACAATTATAGGGTATCCCTACAGCGCCTCGGCTTGCAGCCTGACTTTGTTATTGAAGTTGTGCTCTTTGTTTTATGGGATGGTCTGGGAACGAGCTCCGAGTAAGGGGGGATTAGAGCAAACGACATTGCCTAATTGCTTTGTTGCCGGCCTGGCGATGGCGATGGGGCTGGATCGCTTTGGTTTTTTTTTTGGGTAGGTAAATGAAATGTTTTCCCGCCCCTCTGTAAACAAAACACACGGACAAAGTACGGATGATGCCCTGCTCTGGCCTATTTATGTTTATTTTGTTTCGAAAATTGTGCGTTTAATTTATAGTTAATTGTTGTTCAGATTTTCATTAACCAACCAAACCGAGCAGTGACTGTGTGCGGTCCCCGAATCTGGGGAAATTTCATGGGAATCCATCCCACAGAGCACAATGCACAGACACGGACAGATGCCTATGAAATTATACCAATTGTTGATGATGGTGCTATTTGCGCAAGTTGTTGATGCCCCCACTCCCACGGGCATTCATCCATCCGCTGACCGCCACCAAAATCAACGCCGTCCAATGGCACACTAACAGGCTACCCACCACCCCCCCGCACGGTTTTCCCACCTTCCTCCCATCATGGCAAAAACAAAATGGCCACCCACCTCAATTCTGATTTTTATTTTTCATTTCCAACTCAATCCGAACGAAAAGTACGTTCCGTGACCGCCCGACGGCAGGCAGCTGTGGAAATCTTTGCGCAATACTGGATCCCATCCGATCCGATCCGATCAGATCAGATCGGATCGTTCCCTTCCCGGTGGCCACTCCTTTGCTTATTTAGCTTCAAATAAAAAATCATTTAAATGATTTGGGGAGCCGAATGGCAGAGCAGAGCATAGCGTAGAAATTGAATGATAAATGTTTTGGTTTTTGTGATTTTGTTTATTGTTCAAATTTCGGGTAAAAAATTTCAAATTTTACCGCATGCATAAAACGGTTTCAGCGCGTTCTTCTACTCGTTTTATAGACAGCCATTCGATTCGGCAAAATGTTGAGTTGAGTCCAACAAGAAATAGCACTATCGAGAGTCTGTTTCGCGAGCTGTTTGGATGAAAATCTTGCGGTGCGGCTGGCCCAGACGGACGGACGCACATGTGTCCAAGTCTCCATCGCCCCGACCGTCATTGAGGCAACTTAATTAACGTTTTTAATGGAACTGCCGACTCGTAATGTTCGACCATTAAAAACGCATAGACAGCGCCCAATGGGACTGGGATCCACAGCTCCTTGTGCAGGCGTTAGATTGCCCCCGTGGTGGGGTCGGGGGTCGGCTTATCAGTTGCCAGAGCGCTACTAATAGGCCGGACGGAAAAACGGAAAAACACTTGAAGATCTATTGATAAACAGTCACTTGGTACTCGTATGGTGGGATCTGTTTTTTTCCCCCCAGCAGCATTTGGCACCGAAAAGTGTTTTTTGGATGAAAGGATGGAGAAGATAAAACAAACTGATCAATGTCGTATACAGTAAACAGCCTTACCGACTACACAGAACATTTTCAGGGATAGAGTGCGTCTTTGAGCACCTGAAACTCACTTAGTCGTTAATCTTTTGTTTTCACAAATTTATTTGGACCGTCATAAAAGCGCTTAAAGTCTGTTTAAGTGTTCATTGCATAGTGTAAACACTCTGTTCTGCCCTGCGAAGGCTATGACTCAAGAAAAGGTGTGTATGCCAGGTGAATGTACAGTGGAAATAGCATATGTGGAATGAAAATGAGTTCTGCCATTTAAAAGAGAAGATTTCTGAAGCAATTATCGCTCCAATGCTGTATCGTTTTGGAACTAAAAGTCCAGTCTATGGGAAGGTTTCGATTCATAGCAGATTCAATGACCTCTTGGCCCTAAGCTTAAGACAGAAGCTGTTCAGGCAATTGGCAATCCAACAGATGAATTAACTTGAATTTGAGTTAATGCATAAATCAGCATCAATTTTCTGGGAAAGAACTCTGTGAAGCACCATTGCCTCTGCTCTCCGTCCGCCTTGTAGATGGATGCCTCGTTAGCTTTTCGTCACTAAGCTGAGCAATTTGGGTTTTCAAATGAATTCCACCTACTTTTTCCTAGTGGCAGTTCTTTATCTTTTTTCTCTTT